ACCCTGAATAAGGACACTCAAGTCTCTATTGTTGCACTCTAGAGTTAATCCCTACATGGAGTCTTATTAATACCAACTCAAAGCCAGCATTATCTTGTCATTGGGGCAGGAGAAACAGCAATTCCTCCAAGAACTCCAAGTCTTTTCTGAGGATTTAAATGACTCATTTTTAAGTATGAATTCGTAAAGCACTTTTCTTTCCATAGTTAAAGCAATGATCTTTGATAAATCCTTTTCACATAAAGACCAAAAGATGGCAAGCAGCCCTTTCCAAGGGCTTTAAGGAGTCATGTTCACTGTTCACATGCCATCCTGTGATCTGATCTTTGGCAGAGCTATTGATTAAGAAAAGAGGGGAAAATATTTCAACACATAAAAGCAGCAGCTTTTTGGGTTTCCACACACAAATTTAAGCAATACTCAACATAATTACAACACTGTATTTCAATAAAATAACTCTGAATTATGTGATTAAGTGCCCAAACAGTCAATGCATGTGTTTACAGAAAGGCTTCTGAAAGTCAGTATCACACACATGGTGTGGACACATTAATGAATGGCAGGTAAGATACTCTTTTTGCAGGTCCTGCACTTGGGACTTCAGAGAGATGCTGCACCCTGACCTCACAGCTGTTCTACAGGATGGGCATCCACCCTCCAAAAGGGGAAGACTTCAACATCTGGAAATCTAGTCTGGCTTCACACACAACTGACCTCTGCAGGATCCTGCTCTATAATCAAGCACATTTCAAGGATGTGCTGCTTGTGCACCTGAAAGAACATTAAACTTCAGTGTCCGTTTGAGGACTCATTATTTCAGCAGAGCAAACTTACTGTTCTCGTGCCCAGCAACGCTCAGAGACAGAACCCAAAAAAGCCCAAGGAGAAGAAGATGAAATACAATACAATCTTCCAGTAAACTGAATAACACTTGCCAAAAACACCAGTCTGCAACAGCAGAATGCTACAGGGAAACTGCAGCAAAGCTACCACTACAACTTCAAGCGGAACACGCCTTTTCCTGTCTTCTATAATCTGATCTAGCACTTGCAGACACGTCACAGAAGTAGCAGTGATCCAGAGGTAAGTGCATATCCTATAATCCTTACTGTACCACCTATGGATGGTCTGTGCAGTTCTTTGCAAATAGGGACAAAATAAAGGGTCACCCCTGCCCTCGCATAACAAAAACACCAACAATGTTCAATGTAATTTGCAAGTAGGGCAAAAAGTATCTGTCTGAAAATCAACAACTGCTGGTAGCAAACATCCAAACCCACCCAAAAGTTATCTTTAACAAGAACAAACCTAGAAAACGTCCAAAGCTTATCGTGCATCTGAGCAACTCGGCTCTCATCCCACTTTTCCATTCTCGTTGAATGAGGAGACTCCTGGAGACTACTTCAAAAGGCTTCTCTCTGAACAGCTCTCACAGCAAATTCAAGAAATGACTGATGTGAGAGGTGCTGTTCAAGGCTGCTCTTGCTCACCAGTGCCTTCCTCGGTGTTACAAGACACAAAACACCAAACAATGCTCATCTGCCACAGCGTCACCCAAACCTCCGTGAGGACAGCAAACCCTCCCAGCCACACGCCCAGCAGCTCACCAGGATGAGCAGTGCCCAGGTAAGTCAGTTTGCATGCTGCAGAATTAAGATAATGAGGATGTTTATCCAAGTCATTTCGGGAGATTTTGACCGGAAATCAAGTAGCGACGAGAAACGTGAAATGTTAATTAGGTGTCAGAAAGCGTTGGGCTGGTTCACATTGATTCTGTAACTACTCAACCGTGTCAGCCACCTGATGAGAGGCCACAGAAGAAAGCAGCTCAGTAGATGAAGGAGAGAAAGCCTGAGATGAGCAGAATCTCCAGTGTAAGCTACAGAGCCAGGACAGTTAACTGTGTTAGTGGAACAATCACCTGAATGACTTCAGTTTGTAATAAAATGTGTGGGATTATAACATCAACCACCTGGGAAGTACTGAAGTGGCACATATTGCACTAAGCTGTAATTAGCTCTTTCCAGTTTTAAAGCACTACACAAGCATGACCTAATGAATTTTCATAAATACATGTTGCTAGTGGCCAGAAGGTCCCTATTTTTATACCAAGGAAAATAAATCATACTGACAATCCCATGACCACTTGAGTTAACAAAATGAGGAAGGACACTCCAGCGAACTAGGCATGGAAATGCTGATTTCTGATTCCATTAAAATACAACCAAGTTCTGTTTTTTCCCCTTTCATGCTGCTATAAAAAGACCACATTGTTTCTTCAGGCTCCCAGCATCATCTCTGGCATTGACAGTGAAAGATGGTGGGGAAAAACCAAAAAAGCAAGAACAGCTCAATGATCTCTCACAAATGTACACGTATCTTGAAGTTTTAACAGTATACAGGCAGAAACTTCAATCCTAAACCTCCTTTCTCTGTACTTCCTATCTGCCCAAGCTACAAATGGTTTCAACACTACATGCTCTTGCTTCCTTTCCTCCAGAATTTCTATGTAAATTTTGACATTTTTCCCTCCTTACCCATCACTGCTCCATTTTTCATTTGCTCACCTCTAGCCCTGCCCCAAAGTGTCCTATTGCCATGACAAACAACACCTCCCCAGCACTCCTGCCTGTGCTCTCTTAGCATGAAACATGTTTTTCAGTGCAGTGTCAAACTTGGACCAGTGAAAAAAGTTAAAACTCATTTAACAGTCTGCAAAGGAGCCCATCCAGTCCAGTAATATTCCTCCACCCTGCTCAGTCCCAGCACTTTACACTGTTCTTGTGGCACTTTTCCTTCTCCTACTCATCTAATGATTGCTGGTATCTCTCTCTCATTACATTTTTTATCACAAGCAATTGAACTGGAAGCAGAACAGTATTTTCCCTTTATTCTCTATTCTACAGTGTTAACACTTTTCAGTCTTGAGCCTTTACTTCAAGACTCAGCACTGGACATGACCGATCTGTCTGCGATCTGTCTGAGTCTCTCCCAACTTCCCCCTGCTCTATCTCCTGACTCGGACACGCCTGTCACTCCCTCCTTAACCATTTGTGTCCTTCTTCCTTCTTACAGCACAGACCTAAACTCTCCAAACACTCTCATCCAAAGCCCGACAGCAGGTACAGCAAAACCCCACACTGCCTCCAGGAGCTTCCCACCCTCCTGCCGCCCACATGGAGCTCTGGCAGAACTGAAGCTGAAGCTCACTGGGGTAAAACTGAGACTTCATGCTTGGCCAGCACAGATCACACTGCCTGCACTCAACACAATGACATCATTCAGCTGCCTTTTTTCTATTTTTTTTTAATCATGTTTATAACTTGGCATAAATATGTCCGGCTGCGATTTTGAAAGGATTTAGGAAATAAAGCAATGTAAGTATAAATAAAGCAGTTACCTTGCTTTCAAAGATTATTAGGACATCACTCAACTATTAAGAGCACTTAAAAAATAGTCTTGAGTTCTGTCTAGAGCACAACACTACCCATACATACTTTTGCAGAGAATTGCACAAATTTAGGGATTCCCAGAAAAAATAATTTTTTTTTTTTCATAAGATTCATAAGAACACATTCTTCACATCCCACTCAAAGTGAAACTCTGCACATGTTTCAGTCATGGAAAGAACCTACTTCTCAGAGACTCAAGGCGACAACAGTAATAGCTCCCTTTCCTTTGCTACGCAGCCTCCAGTCACTAAACATGTTTAATCAAAGGCAAAACTGTTTTATTTAACAGATTTTAGAACAGATCCCTTCAGCACAGCAATTACACCACTAGAATTCACATCTGCACCAGAACTGGATGTTGACTATAGCAGAGCAATTACCCTTTTATGATCCCTTCACAAGGAGCAACAGGTCTCATTAGAAACTTATTTACAGAGCTGAGCCCTGTGCTGAGCAGGTGATAGGCCACCAAAGCACCTGCCCATACTGCAATCTCCAGAAGACATTCCATGATCAGGGCAATACATATTTATAGCATATTTGCACAACCTCTTTAAGTCAAGAGCATGATTACACAACCATTCATAATAGCTCAACAGGAGACATCATGAGCTATTGTTCAGATTCACACTAACACAAAGGTTATTTTTAAGACATAAAAACACAAAGCCACTTAGGTTTGAGAGACCTACGAGAACAGATTTAATCTATTTTAAGGTTCTCAACCCCCACCCCCGCAAAACCCTATGCCACTGGCATACACAAGTCTATGAACCAAGAAACAACAAATTTAAGTTGAATTTTTCATTTCCTTTTGCAGCATTTGTATGGAAACAGAGCGAAAGGACTTCAGCTGTCACGGACAGTTAAAGCTCCAGCTCAAGAATGGAGAGGTTTCTTTTTCCTTTCCAGCCCCACTACTGAACTGTGTACTCCACATCCCAACCCTGCTCTTAAATTGTATATTCCACCTTCAGCTGAGAACTTCAACGTAACAAAAATCTCATTACATGAGCATTAACACAGACATTCAAAATTAAACAGGAAGTATACAGAGGGAATGTTTGCTAGATTGCTCAAACTGGAATAGAGAAGGGAGTGGTTTTTAAATTCTTCTCATTAACCCATGCATATCTTTTCTTCAAAAAAATCACATCACTATTAAGCCTGCCTTTATTGCAAACCAATTTTTTTTGGTTTGGTTTTTTAAGTCGATGCATTAGTTAACAAAGGGTGGTAATAAACATATGGTGAAAACACTGTGCAGGTACCAGCTTTGTTAGAGAACATAAAAGCCCTCAGTACCTCGGCTTTCCCACATATGAAATGAGGACAATTACACCAGAATCTCTTTTTTATTATTATTAAAAGAAAGGGAGGAGGGAAGTAGCTAAATGCATCTGTGTGCAATACCACAGAGGAACAGCCAGCCACAGAGAAACGCTTCAGATCCACGAGGAGGCGGCTCAAGTGGCGTTTTAGGGAAAAAGCAACGCAGCAACAAGGATCACACAGACCCAATTAAAGGCAGTGAGCCCCAAATCTTACCAGCTGGAACTCCCTGCGCCTGTCATATGCGTGCTGGATGCCACTGTCTGCCCACAGGGCCCGGATGGCCGGCAGGTAGTCCAAGAAAACGTTGGTCTCCACCATCCCCTGCGCCACGGTGACCGCGCGGGTGTCGAAAGCCATCACCTTGTCTCCATTGCTCTGGTTGGCAGGATCTCCCCAGGGGATATGGAGTTTCTCTCTGGCATCCACGAGGACTCTCACACCTTGAATGACAAGGAAGAGCACCGAGATTAGAGTTTCTCAGCATCTACTGTTTCACCAGCACAGAGTCAAACAATGCACTCCCTCCGCACAAAGCTCGGTAGGAACATCCAGTTCCTGCTGGATGGACCCAAACCACGGCATTTACAGGGAATATCAAAACTCAGACAGAACATCACCACAATCAACAGGATAATATCCATAGTGCAAGTTAACTCTTGAAAAAGTGCTATTTTTAATGACTAATTCCCCAATCTGTGCTACCAAATGCTTTCACCTGGCATGAATACAAGACAAATGAAGTATATTTACGAGTTTATTTCAAAAGATGTTAAACCACCTGTTGGCTTATTTTAAAGTTCCCTAATCTTTGTGCTATCAACTTAATATCTAGTTATATCAAATTATAGAGTGTATCTCTATCACTGAGAGTATTTCTATCTCTGCCTTGAACATATTCTGAGATATGAAGACATTTACTAAAATCACTGCACTTCATAAAAAGTCTGGTTTTACAGTTTAAGTGCAGAAGGAGTTATATCACCTACAGACTTTCCCACACTTTTGTGGTTGTTTTGGTAAATATTCTCTAGGAGAAAAGGAGTATTTTAAACTTCTTTTTAAAGTCCTTCTAAAGGACTTATACCCATTGTGCTCATAATAATAAGGGAAATGCAGGGAAATGATTTATAGAACTAAATTAACAGATGAAAAAAATAGGAAGAAAATTCCAGAAAGAATAAGCAACTGCAAAGGCATAGGGAGAGATATAAGGAAATCAAGATGTGGTCACAAATGATTGTACAGTAACATACTTGTTCAATGCCAGAGTGTCTCTTTCCATGATTTTTCTACCTGTCAAAGGCAGCTATTTGTCAAATCTATCTGTGACTGCAGGAAAACAGCTTCCAAAACAGACCTGCAAGTTTTTACACGTATACTTTCACAGAGTTCGAAGTACCTTTATTAATAAACTTTAACCTGGCCAACATACACACTCATGACTTCTACTGCCTTGCTATTAATAGTTTTTCCAGGCTTGATTCATCATTAGGTTTGTAAAACAATTCTCTCTGAGAATCATTGGATATTCAGGGCCTGAAGTCTGACAAGGCTTTGCGGTTTTGAGAAAGTTCATTAAGGCTTTTTCCAGCTATTAAAGAGTCCAAACTGAAAACCTGACGGGCAGTTGGGCTAAGAGATTAAATGAGTGAGGACGACCAATAAAGCTGGGATGACAGCAGTGAAATCAAGCGTCCGCTCCTAAATCGTGTGTGGAGGTTTTGGCAAAGCATCTATGAAAAGTGGCTCTGCCTCTGGGTTCCTGTTAATTGATGTGTCAGCCGAGTTTCCAACACGACGGCAGCGATTCTTCCAGTGCAGTGAAACGCTGAGAGCACAGGGACGGCTCCTCCTCACGCGCTTCCAGGTGCATCTTCCCCCCCATCCATTACCGCTCATTACCGCGACCGCATTGCCGGGAAATCACAGAATCACGGAATCAATTAGGTTGGAAAAGACCGCTGAGATCATCGAGTCCAGCCTAGGACCGAACACCAACCCTGTCAACCAGACCAGAGCACTGAGTGCCATTACCAGTCTTTCATTAAACACCTCCAGGGATGGGGACTCCAGCACCTCCCTGGGCAGCCCATTCCAATGTCTATTCACCCCTTTCTATGAAGAAATTCTTCCTGATGTCTAACGTAACCCTCCCCTGGCGCAGGTTAAGACTATGTCCTCTCATCCTGTCACTTGTTACCTGGGAGTAGAGCCCGACCCCCACCTCGCTACAACCTCCTTTCAGGTGTCTGTAGAGAGCGATAAGGTCACCCCTACGCCTCCTTTCCTCCAGAATGAGCCCCCCCAGCCGCTCCTGGTGCTCCAGACCTTCCCTGGAGCGGCTCCAGCCAAGGAGCAAACGCCAAATCCCGGGACCTCCCGGACTCAACCCGCTGCTGCCGGGGCCGAGCGCCGGGGCCGCCCCGCGGGCCGCACCCGGGCGGTGACACCCGGCGGGCCCGCAAGGGTTGCGCCCCGAGCCAGGGAAGGACGAGGCGGCGGGACAGCGCGGGATGAAGAGGAGGAGGAGGACAAGGAGGAGAAGGAGGAGTAGAAGGCGGCGGCCCCGCCGCTCCCCCGGCCCGCGGGACCCGCCCGAGCCGCCTCCCCCCGCCCCGGCCCGGCCGGGCCCGGCGCTCGCAGGGCAGGGCAGGGTGGTCCCGGCCCCGCCGCTCTCACCCACCACCCACCCTTGATCACGTTGCTGTAGATGGTGGCGCGGAACTCCTCGCGGGCCGCGCGGTCCCAGTCCTGCCCGTGGATGATCCGCATCTGCTTCAGGAAGGTGGACTTGCCGCTCTCGCCCGCGCCCAGCAGCAGGATCTTGACGAGGCGCTTCACGTAGGTCTTCTCGCGGTTGAGGCACTTGTCGATCTCCTTGGACTTGCGCTGCTGCTCGGCCTCGCCGCTGGTGAGGAGGCAGCCGGGGAAGCAGCCGGACAGCGCGGAGCGGGACGGCAGGAAATCCGCCATCTTAGCGAGCGCTGCCAGCGAGGGGAGCGCCCGCCCGCCGCCCGCGCCGCGCGCGCCCAGCGCCGCGCATGCGCCCCGCCCAGCGCCGGCCCGCCCGGCACGTGACGCGTCCCCCTCCGGCCCCGCCCTTGAGGGAGCTCCGCCCACAGCGGCGCCTCACAGGAAATGGCGGGAGGGGCCGGTCTGGGAGCGGGGGCGTTGGAGTGCCCTGGGCTGGGAAGGGACAGCCGGGTACCAGGAATTCCCACCTGCATAGCCCCGACCATCCTGCCGTGTGCCTGAGAGCGTTGTCCAAGCACCCCTTGAGCTCTGGCAGGCGCGGTTCCTTTTACAGAATCGCCGAATCAACGAGGCTGGAAAAGACCTCTGAGGTCGTGGAGTCCAGCCTTTGGTCCAACGCCGCCTCCTCTGTGCCACATCCAGCCCCTTCTTAGAAAACACCTCCAGGGATGGGGACTCCACTACCCCCCTGGACAGCCCATTCCAGTGCCTAGTCAGCCTTTCTGTGAAGAATTCTTCCTGATGTCCAATCTGAACCTCCCCTGGTGCAGGTTGAGACTGTGGCCTCTTGTCCTGTCACTTGTTCCCTGGAGCAAAGCCCGACTCCCATCTTTCAGGTAGAAAATCCATTTCAATGCCCAATCACTCTCTCTGTAAATAACTTCTTCCTGATGTCTGACCTAAACCTACCTCCCTCCTGTCCTACTGCTAGTTGCCTTTTAACTATACTCAATTTGCTTTTAAAACTTTTTCTCCCTTTTCCTTGAGAAATCCCCCAACTCGCTTTGAACTTAAGCTTGAAATTGAGATTTTTGGCACCGTTTCTGGAGCAGATCCAGGCTGTGCCCCCTTGCTAGAACCAGGTTGCTCCTGAGGAAACACGCACAGTGAAAGAACATTCAGGCACAGGGTGCTGCTGTGTAATGGAGTTAAAGGTTTATAGATTCACATGATCATAATTTTACAGTGCTTCGGTAATGGAGAACAAAGTTGAAGGTGGAGAATGACTTCATAGAATCATCAAGGTTGGAAGAGACCTTTAAGATTGCCCAGCCCAACCATCCACCCAGCACCAGGTCCAAGATGCCTCTTAAACACCTCCAGCGATGGTGATTCCACTACCTTCCTGGGAAACCTATTCCAATGCCTGACCACCCTAACAGCGAAAATTGTTTTTTCTAATGTCTACTCTGAATCTCCCCTGTCTCAGCTTGAGGCCATGTCCTCTAGTCCTCTTACCGTGGGCATGGCAGAAGAGACTAACTCACAGAATGAATATCCTTCCTCAACTGAGGGGCCCAGAACTGACACAGGACTCAACACAGGAGCGGTGGCAGACACTCCTGTCCATGTCCTCCTTCTCATCCCTGCCCCTGGCCTTGGCCCTGGCTTCACATGGGCCTGTTTAGTCTAGAGAAGAGAAGACTGAGAGGGGGATCTAATTAATGCATATAAATATCTCACAGGCAGGTGCCCAGGGGACGGTGCCAGAGTCTTTTCAGTGGTGCCCAGTGACAGGATGAGGGGCAACAGCCATAAACTAAAACACAAGAAGTTCCACCTCAACATGAGGAGGAAATTCGTTCTGTTGAGGGTGACAGAGCACTGGAACAGCTGCCTGGGAAGGGTGTGGAGTCTCTCTCGAGACCTTCAAAACACACCTGGACACGTTCCTGTGTCACCTGCTCCAGGTGACGCTGCCTTGGCAGGGGGGTTTGGACTGCATGATTTCCAGAAGATCCTTCCAACCCTAACTATTCTGGAATTATGGGATTCTGTGGAAACGAGCCCCAGGCTCAGCTGTCCCTGCTGCTGCAGGGAAGGTGCCAGGTGAATGGCCCAGAGAGGTCAGCCCTCGGTCAGGGGGGCAGGATGGCGCTTGCCAACTAAGCAGTTTTTGTTCTCGGTACAGAAAGAGAGGAGTTTTTTTAAAACACTTTGAAAAATTGGCACGTACTTCCTCTTTGCCTGTCTCAGAGGAGCTTCCTGGTACTGCTGGGCTGTGGCACCAGGCTGAGCAAACACTCTGGGTCTGGCCTCATGTGGGGCTGCACGGAGACAGTGAGCAAAAGACAGTGGAAATCTTTATCTGTTACTGACTTTATCACATGGAAATGTCACTTTGCCTCAACTGGAAGGACCTTCAAAATCTGTGATGAGTATCAGTGTTATCTGCAGTGAGTATCAGTGTTCACACCTTAGAGGATGGCTCCACGTGGAGGTAAATTCCACAGGAATTGTTTCATGTGACCTTACCTAAAAAAATAAAAAGGCATTTCTCTTAGGAGAGCAGGATGTGGTATAAAATTAATGCAATGATCCAAGGAGCAAATACCGGTGGTCTTAGTACAGATGTCAAAGCCAAACATTCCTGAGCTCTGGTCTAAATTTTAAAACTAATTTTTTGACACAACTCTCATCTCCAGAACTGCAGAGGTCTCCTGAGTTTCTACAGCCAAGTCATCTAAGTCTTGGGTAGTCCCTGACTTCCTCCCTCCTTTCCCCTTCATGTTCCCCTTGGCTGGGCAGCTCTCCAACACCTCCCAGGTACGTCATTCCCAATCTCCTGGCACAGGAGCGTGGCTCTCAGCGTGCTGCACAGCAGGAAGGGCTATTCCTGTGCTGAGGATGACGATGTTCCCTGGAGAGGGCTCAGCATCATCCAGGTCAGGTGTTAACCCAGCTGCATCCTCCCACCACAGCAGCCGGGCTTCTTCTCTAAGGCAGAGTGCGTAAGGTCTTTCTCTGTTTGGCTTTTTTCCTTCCTCTTTGCCACTTCTTTCCTTAGCTTTCCTGGAAAGCCCAGGAGTGACAGGAAGCAAATGCTGCCCATTTGTGCTCTTCCCATGTGGCTACTAAGGAAGCTTCTCATTTTGAGTGCTTGTACCCCACCAGGCAGGACAGCAGACCCTGGAGATATTCCTTTAACCACTGCCTTGCTGGGAGACTTGAGACTGTCACGTCTTTATGCCACAGTTTGCGCAATTTTTACTTTTTTTTTTTTTTTTTTTTGGTAAACTGCTTTGACATCTTCCTGGAAGGAACTGTGTGCTGAAATTGAGCCTCCACTTGCTGCTCTCATCGCTTCACTTACGTTACTCCTTCCTTCCCCTCAGGGCCGTCCCCAGTTTCCTTAGATAGAAAGGTAGTTTACTCACCACATGCCTTTTGTGTTGCATGATTCAACTTCTGATGTGTGAAGAAGGGGCAACCACGTAGGAAATGTGATCTTTCAGAAAAGGGGGGATTCCCTCCGCGGTGCTTCCCATGAGAGAGACTGTCGAGAGTTGTGAGCAGGTCTGTTGAGAACCATCACAGCTTGGGGGGCTTCACAAGGAGAGCAGAGAGACAAAACCCACCTCTCAATCCCCAGCCCTGTGCAGTCTGAGAGGGTTCTGTGGGCTCTGCAGAGCTCATGGACACGCACCATTGCCCTGTGATGTGATGACTATGAGTGTGTTTCCGCCACAGCATCATTTGCCTCCAGCCTGAGGTGTGAACATCCATGGAAACTTGCAGCTACATAAATAGCACTGCATTTACCGCAGAAAGTGGGTACTGGGAGGTAAAGGGAACTCCCGAGGGGATGTGTTTCTACATTATCTGTGGAGCAGGAAGGCCAGGATGAACTTAGGGAGTCAGAAATCAGCAGAGAGCCTGCTGCTATTGCTGTTCTCCACCACTCTTCCTGCTGTTCAATCCCTTGCTTTCTCTACCAACAAATTCACACATAAACAGCCAGACCGTGTCAGGGACTATGGAATTCTTTGCTTTCCACAAGTGTGGGTTTTGTGATTAGAGGCCCAGGAGTGTCTGCCCTCGACAAGCCTCTATAATCTGATTTACGTGCCTCATGCTTCACGTAGCAGATCTGCCCAAGAGCATTAAGCATTGGGGTGGTTCACCTGGGCACAGGTGAAATGTGGTTCATCTCTGACTGTCTGTTTGGTGCTGTGGGTCATTCGCAGATGTTAATAAAGCTGAGTTTACATTGGACATCTTCTATAGCAGGGACACCAAGTAGCTTTATAATAAAGAGAGAAATACCCAGAAGCTTTATTAAAGCTCATCAGAGACAACTAGAAATGGAAAAACCCCACACCTGATCTATGAGGGGGTGTCTGGGGGATCAGCAGGATTTAAAATTACCAGGATCTTTGGAGCTCAACAGGGCGGAAGAGCTCACACCTCAGCATGAGCTTTTCAGAGCTATTTCTCCTGGATTTCCTGCAAGACAATTTTATTTCTGAACTCACTAGTAGACCCAGTTTTCAAATGTTTCTCATTAATAAGACACCTGTATTCCTCAGTGGAACCATTAAAGTCAGTATTTTGGGTTGAAATGACCATTTTTATTCCTCTGAGTATGTGGGGCTTGTGCAGTTGGTGGTGATCCATCCTTTGCTTAGGCCAGTGTTTGCACCTCACCTGGAATATTTCTGAGTCCTTCCACCACCACTCGTATAACAAAACAAATTGTTCTGTTTTAAACTACAAATAGTTCAGAGGAACAGCGGGAAGGAAATCCCACCACTTTCTGAAGAAACCGGGAAAACAGAGCTCTTGGTTTCCCAGTGCTGCCAGTCAGGTGCTGTTCCCCCGCCCATGGGCATGAGACAGCTCGGTTTTGAGGAAGCACTTTAACCCCGTGGTCTTCCTCTCGTCACCGTTCGTCACCATTTCCCCACGTGGAAAAGCCACCAACTCCCCAAACCGCCCAGCCAGCTCCTGCATCCACGGCTGAGCTGCCCGAGGTTGGTGGCACTCAAGGGGCAGGACACGCACCACAATTCCCAGTCACAACTCCTTGGTGCCTGTGTTCAGCCCGGCTCCACACCAGGAGTGCTTTGGGGAGAGATTCTCCCTTCTCCAGAGGAATGAGCAGTGCACAGGGTCTTTGCCAGCTGCTGCCTCCCCCTCCCCAACACCACCTGCTCTGGGCAAAGGGCTGTTTCCAGTGTGACTCCCAAACTCGGCTCTCCTGGACAGCTGCTGGCACCCAGCACCTTCCAGAATGACCTTACACCTTTGTTTTCTCTGTCACTTCAGCTCATGCTGCCCCCCAGCCTGACCCCCAGAGCCAGCTGGGATCCACGGGCTCTGCAACAGGTCATGGCCCCAAACTCCTGGGGATGGGGCTGTCACCCCTCGGACCCCACACACGCAATGGTGCCCCGGGGGAGCCGTGGCCAAACAGGATGCTGTGAACACAGCCCACTTCAGCCAAAGCAGTGCCAGCGCTGCCCTGGGCACCGCATCACCCCACTTGGACCATTGGCCTTCCATCGGCCCTCATCCCTGCTCCAAACCCAGACCTAAGGCCCTGCACCCGGCCCTGGCCCCCTCCTTCCATCTCATTCCACTCCATTCCATTGCACCACACTCCATCCCATCCCATCCACCCCATCCCATCCCATCCCATCCCACCCCACCCCACCCCATCCCATCCCATCCCATCCCATCCCATCCCATCCCATCCCATCCCATCCAATTCCATTCCATTCCCATTCCCGGCTCCTCCGTGCGCTCCCTCCAGCGCCCCCACGCGGCCGCCGCGCGCCACTTCATGCAAATGAGCGCGGGGCGGCGGGCGCTGATTGGCTGCGGCGCGCGGCGGTGGCGCCGCCCCCGGCGGGTGTGGGTGCCCGCAGCCAGGTGCGCCCGGCCGGGGCCGCTCCGCCGCCGTCTCCGCTTCGCCACCGCTCCGCCGCCGCTCCGCCACCATGACCGTAACACGGCTCGACCAGGGCCAGCGATACCGCCCGCGGATGGCCTTCCTCAAAAAGGTGAGCGCCGGGACGGCCGCACCGTTATGGGCATCAGCGCTGGCGGGCACGCCGGGGCCGCGTCCGGGCGGGGCGATGCGGTGCCCCGGGCAGCGCTGGCGGTGCTTTGGCCGGGGTGAGCTGTGTTCACAGCATCCTGCTCGGCCACGGCTCCCCCGGGGCAGCTCTGGGCGTGTAGGGTCCGAGGGATGACAGCCCCATCCCCAGGAGTTTGGGGCCATGACCTGTTGCAGAGCCCGTGGATCCCAGCTGGCTCTGGAGGCCAGTGTGTGCTGAAGTAATGGAGAAAAGAGAACTGTAATTTTGTTTATTTTTATAGCTTAGCCTCAGCTGAATGATTCTCCTGACACGTTTCCTCCCCCTCCTATATTTTTCCCCAAAACCGCTCAAACGTGTTGTTTCCCGGGGGAAAACCCATCACCTGCAGTGCCAGGCCAGTCAATGCAGCTCTGGGCCAGTTGGTCCAGTGTGTGGTTCCCAGTGTTTGCAGCTGATGTCTGCTTTCAGAGGATGTATTACAGCCAGTGTCTGTTCTCTGCCTCCTTCCAGTTTTTCAGAAAAGAGCGTATTTGTGACCAGAAGCACTCTAAGGCGTGGGAAGAAGTATCGCCCACGCTTTTGGGTGTGATGTGTAATTTTGTAAAGCATTTGGTGTTTTTTTTTCTGTAGCATTCATTCAAAAGCATCACCAGTTGTAGTAAAACTGGTATCTGCAGATTTTAAAAAGCAGAGTGTTAAGCTAGCTTTTCTCCTACTCGCCTCTCCTGCCTGTGGCTTATCCTGTTGAGTGGAATTAACTGAATTTCCAGTGACAAGTACAGCCACAGAGTTGCTGTTCAAGTTGTAGTTAGCTCTCCTCAACGCCCATGACCTAAGGAGGATTCCAGGGGTGAAGGAAGGGGAATTTGGGGCTGTTCAATGCTAAGATATGAGCCTTACATAGCAATGTGTGCTTTTCACTGCTTTTTGGTACAAGCAGCGTGCTTTTTACGCCAGAGGAAGTAAAGAGGGTATTTTCTTTGGTGCGGCGTCTTGCAGGGTAAATTTGGCTGGGGAACCCTGCCAAGGGAAATACTCTGGGCCAAATTCTGCACTGAGTAATACTCTGTGGAGTTGAGTGCGGGGGTGCAGAGGAGAAGCTGTGTGCTTTGAGAAAACAGCTGCCAGCAGCTGTGCTTCAGCTGCTCTGTGGGAGTGCAGCAGCCTTTGCAAATTGCTCCAAGTTCCTCAGGTGGGAAGACCTGTCAGGGTACAGCAAATTGCTGTTACAGAGCGTTCACCACTCACACAGAGCAAGCACCACTCACACTGTGAGCAGCGAGGGGGTTTCAGTAGTGCCTGTGCTTTGCAGGTCTAAGACCTGTTAGCAGTAGGAAAGGAAGCTCCTGGGTGGTCAGCAGAAAGGCCCTGGCTCTCATCTTTGCTTTCGTTCTTCCTCTGTTTTCTCCAGACCTTGGAGAAGCTGTGTTTGGAGCCTTGGCTGTTCCGTGGCAGTGTGGTCTGTGTGCAGACAGCCACGTCCTCAGAGCTGTCTGGGTACACCAGGCACCCTTACAGGTTGCCTGTGGTGGGAGCTGAGGATGCTCAGCATCCAGTGAGCACCTTACAGGCTTAAATCCACAAGGACCTAAAATCCTAGAGAGAAGCTTTGTTAATTGCTTAAGCCCGTGCTCACGCTTTGCTGCCAGCTGACACACAGGGGATCCCTGCCCTGCTCTCAGGCTGCTGGCCCCGTGTGCCTTTCTGTGGTGCTGCTCCAGCATGAAGCTCATGATCACAGCAATCCTGCCACTGACACGGGGAGAGGACAGGGGGTTGCATTAGCAGTGCTGTGTTCTTGCTGTGAGGCTGCTCTGCACGACTTGGGCTGGATGTGGAGCTTGGTCTTTGTGGATGAACCAAGGGGGGATTGGAGAGCCCCCTCCAAGGCCCTGCAACACCTGCTCATCCAGCAAACACTCATGCTGACACTTAGGCTGCTTTATTCTATAAACTGTCTTGGTAGGGAGAATACTGGCACAAAGGTCTGTTGGGACAGAAGCCCCAAAATGCATTTTGGCTGCATGCTCTTGGCTGGATGCTGGGAGAACTTCAATGAGCCCAAGCCCTTGGTGCTTGTGCCTGCCCCAGGGTCAGGGTCTGGCTCTGTTGGGCATCCCCTGGCAAAGCTGGAGGCAGGGCTGTGCTTTCCAGCAGCTGCTGGGCTGTGTGTTTTTCCTTGCTGTGTTACACGAGCTGCATTGTGACTCATACCTTGTGCGTAGGGCTGATGGATTGGATGCTGTTTGCCTTTTCCCTCTGCCTTTTCCTTACTCTGGTCACCAGTGGCTGCTCCCAAAGCTGCACAGCAACCAGGGAGGGACCATCCACAGCCTGGCTGGGGGCTTTTCCAGCCAGGCTTGGCTTCTTGGGCTTAGACCTTCCAGCAGCTGCTGGTCCTCATCTGCCTGGGCATTTCCCAAGGTGTGCCAGCACCTGATTTGTGTTTTTGCTGTAAGGAGCCATCCAGTGGGCTCCTGCTCTCTGTTTAAGCGAGACCCTGGATAAGGCTGAAGCTGAACCTTAGGTCAAGCTCAGCATCATCCCATCCTCCCTTTCCTTATCCCAGGTGGGGAGATGCTGGTGCTGCACCTTTCTTTGGAGCATCACACCAAGCATGACATGCTCTGAGCAGTCTTGGTGAGAGCCAGTGTGCTCAGCCAGGCCAGACTGTAGGAGGAGCCAGCTACAGCCCTGCCCTCCCCATTCACACATTTACTTGCCTTGGCTGAGGGATCACCACGTGGGATCAGGCTTCCTCCTCTCAGCTTTAATTAAGAAAAAGCAGGAAGTTTTGGGTGGTTAACAATGGATTTTTGTTATTTCTTCTTTTTTGCCGATCATCCATCAATGTGCAAAGCAGGGTTGGTAGTTATAGTCCTAGAAAACAATTGAATGAGCCTTTGAGGGCAGAGTTGGGATGAAGGACTGTATTGTTACCTTGGAAATCAGAGCAAGGGGGGCTGATCCTTGCAAACAGTGACAGGCAGGGAGGGGGGCTAGAACCAAACAAATACACACGATGGAGAAGGCAGCAGATCTTTAATTATAGCACCAGGAGTGGACACTCAGCTGGGAGCTGGAGCCTGCTGGGAAAATGATCTTTCTTACATCTGAAGCAAAGATGCCTCTGTCTGAGTTAATGCTGAGAGGGGGTGAACTCCTCACCTTGGAAATGTTTTGCTCTTGCATGTCAGAGTCTCAGCACCCAGATGATGCTTCGGTGTTGTAGATGCCCTGACCCTGGGGCAGCTGGTGGGTGTCCGAAGGGTAAAGCTCAGGGAAACAGGGATGGGAAATGCACCCAGGGTAACTCAACCAAGCAGTCCATCAGTGTTCATTTGCCCCCACTGCTCCGTGCCATGGGACAGTATCCATGCTGGATCCATCCTCCTTCTCCAGAACCACGAACAGCCCATCAATCACTGACCATTTGAGCTCCCACGTGCTCCTGAAATTCAGTGATGCTTTTTCTTATCACGTGTGAGTTTGAGTTTTGCTTTGCACTCAGTGAGCCCTGAGTGACTTCCTGCAATCAGATGACAGACAGTTTTCTTGTTGCTGCTTTGTGGTTTTCGGGGTGAGGTCACCCCATGAAGAGATTCTTTTGCTCTGAAGGGAGAACTCCATGGCTGTCATGCCCCATGGTGGCTCTGTGCTTGAGGTGAGCTCTCCCCAGAGCCTGGCTCTTTTGGAAGTCCTGATATTTACCTCTGTGTGCATCTCCACCCACCAGCCAGCACCAGGAAGTGGCTTCTGGCTCTGCAAAATTCAAAGCAGGCAGCTCTTTCCTGGCTGAAAGCGTGACAGAATGTACTAGAGCCCTGAGCAAAGCAAGGAAATGCTCCTGCTGGGTTTTAACCAGCCCTCCTGGCCTCTCACCCATGCCAATGGCAACTCCTGGTCGCTGTAATCACCAGTGTTCCCTCAGGAGAAGAGACAGGCTGAGTTTTGATCAGCAAGGTGAATGCTTTGCAGCCCTAACAGCAGCTCCTTCCTTTTTAATGTATATAATTTCTCCAGTGACAAGAGGGAGTGTGGCAGGGTACGAAGGCGACAAGAGCTGCTGGTTGAAGGAAGGGAACACGCTGTGCTGGGAGGCTGTGTGGGTTTCTGAGCCAATTCCCTGCTCTCAGCTGGTTAAAGACCTGTTTGAGCCCACCAGGGAGGAACAGCAGCCCTGTGCTGGAGCTGGATGTGCTGTGCCACTTGTAGGGAACAAGTCCTGGCTGAGCCTGGTGGGACCTGCCGGGTGGTCGCAGCACTGGGGTGTGGTGGGGATGAGCAGGGCTGTGTTTGCCCCCTCTATCCATGTGCTGAAGTGTTCCCTGCTGAGTGACTGTGCAGTTATAGAGAGTAAGTGACTTCCCAAGATACCTGAGAGGCTTAGAGGGAACTGAATCTGAATTTCCTAAATTACCACCCTGCCTGCTGGACCATCCTACCCCAGCTCATCCCACACAGCTCCACAGGCATCTCTCCATGCACAGCCTTGAACTTGCAGAGGCTGAAATTGTGGGTTCTGTTGAAAGGCCTAAGAAAGTCTGCATCACTTTGGGTCTGGTTTTGCTATTTTAAAATATTTTGTATACGTATTTATACAAATATTTGTGTGAAATTTTACCAGGCTTCTCTGTTTTAGTATTAATTTGTCACTGCCTTTAAAAGCAGTTGAAAATCCAGTTTTACTGGCAGGCCCAGGGTGCATCCTGTCACTACAGCTTAAATCCTCACTGAACTTGGCAAGACTTGGGAACAAAGTCACTGTGGTGCCTGTGAAGACAATGCCCTTCATTATGCATGAGTGTCATCAAGTCACACTCATTAAATCCTCTACTCCTAGTTAAAAAGCTACAGCCTCACCCAAAATGAATGTGCAGAGAGACCAAATTGGTCCTGTTGAAACAGCTTTGATTTAGTATCCTTGGAAGCAGAAGACAGAAAGAAGAGCATCATCCCCAAAGCCAGTGCTCTCACGGCACTCGGATGATCTAAAACAGGGAGATGAGGAGCGTGGCCCAATCCACCCATCTGAGCAGAGGATCCCAAGGGGAAGCGGGGGCTCTTGTGCTTTTGGGATGGTGCTAGTAGAAAGTAAAAAAAAAAAGATCTTTTAAAATAATTAAAGATAATTGGAAACCAGAAATAGGTCTGGCCCTGAAGGTGATACTCATCCTCTGTTAAAAGCATCCCTCAGGAGTCCAGGTGGGAGATGCTGCCAGATGGGATGATGTTGCTCTGGATGGTGTGTCTCTGCCCCATCCCTGGAGGGACTGAGCTTTGCTGCCCACAGACCCTGTCTCAAAGCTGTGAGTCTCAGGCTGTGCTGTCTCAAAGGACAGGTCTCATCCCTCCCACCCCCCAATTTGAGCTTCTTGCTCAGCCCCAGAGCAAAGCAATGTGCTTCTCTTGCTCTTCTGCAGTCCTGCCTGGTGATTATCAGCAGACCAGAAACAGAACCTTTGCTGTTTGGTCTCCAGCCAAAATATTGCTTATATTCATGGTGCATGGTGCAATATCTACAAGTCCGTGCACAGCTGGGGGATCTGTGCAATAGAAGCACAGATTCTGTTTCCTCCCCTTTTTTTTTCTTTCAAATTGCCCCAGCAAAGAGCCCACTGAGCCAGAGAGGAACATTTATGGGTAGCAGAGATTTTATTTTTTTTTCTCTTAACTCAGCTCTCATGGAGTGGTTGCATCCTGTCCCTGGTCTGCTAACCCTGGCTGTGTGTTCAGTGGGAGGGAGGGACCCTGTGAGTCAGTGTGAGAGCTGACATGGTTTGGAGGTGGCACCTCTCATGGCAGGGGGGAGGTTTGGAGAGGGCTGTGGCTGTCGAATCCATTCCTGTGGCACATCACTGCCCACCCCTCTGGAATGCTGCAGTGGTCCTGGGGCTCCCTCCTGCCCACTCCTGTAATCCATCCCATCCCATGCTTTGCAGATTGAAGCACTTATGATGGAGATGCAGAGTCCAGACACAGGCATCAAGACACAGACACAGACAGTGACGATTGCCACCATCCCACATGCTGTGACAGGTAAGAGCTTCCCTGGGGGAAGGGACCTGGCCAGGGAAGTTCAGCAGAGAAAAGCTGTGTGTGGACCCCATGGCCAGGGTTGCCAGTGCCTGGCTGAATGCTGGAGCCCTTGTTCCCAACAAATATTCGCTGTACATCCTCTGAGATGTACCTGCTCCCTTTATCTCATACTCACTTGTGTCTCACTTCATTCCTGCTCTTTGAGTCAGAGACACAAAGATTGATAACCTGCACTTTCAGCTGTCTCATGGGGGTTAACTCAAGTGACCTTGCTTGCTTTCAGCATAGAGGTGAGTAGGTACTGCAGCCTCCAAACTTATCATATTCCCAGTGAGGCTGGATCACAAATAAAGATAAATATTAAAACCCCATTAAAATAAGCAGCCTGGAGGCAGACTGAGAGATGGTACTTTAGAAATGAGCAATAAGCAATTAGTCTCCAATTTAATGTTTACTCCTAGTAATAATTTTTCTTCAGTAGGCAGGAAAAGCACAAAATACTCAACCCACTTCTGTGCCTCTAAGTGACAGCTTTGCCTCATTCAAGCAGGCTGAGGAAGCAGCAGACAGGAGCTGTGCTGTGTTCAGCTTTACAGGCAGCTCTTATCTCAGCCTCCTTGTGCCTGCTGCTCCTTTCACTGGGCACTATCAGTACCTCTGCTTCCCTGCCCTCCAAGCCTCCACAAAAGCTCTTGTGAGGAACCCTCTGCTGTAAATATTCACACATAACTCTTACCAAAGTTTCTTCCTCCTGCTTTGGTCTCTCTGCAGCGCTTTGAAATTCAGAACAAAAACTCCCACTGAAACCAGTGAGTTTGCTCCAGGCGACTCAGGAGACTTTCCCCACTGTGTTTGCAAAGTCTGGTAGGCCCTGGGTGTTCTTTGCCCCAATTTTTTTTTTTTTAAAAGCGAGGATGCAGAGGCACTGAAGTAGCTTGCCCATGGGTAGAGTCAGTCGGTGAAAGGGTCAGCAGAGCTCGGACACATCTGAAGCTCGTTCTCAGCAGCAGCCTCCATGCATTGCAGTGCAAACCACATCCTGGCTCACACAGTTATTATGCAGCTGAATTTGGTGGAGGTTTGCATGTACAAAGGAGCTGGCCTTGCCTCCCAGAGCTGTCAGGGAATAGTTAAGGCAGCGCTGCAGGGAAGATTCCCCTGTGCTGAAGATGACGTCCCACACAGATTAAGTGAAGGGGAACAAGAACTTCTCTTGATGTCTGCCCAGCATGAAGCACCACTTCCTAAAAGTCCATGGCCAGCTGGTGTGGAGGGACAGTGCCTGCTGGTACTCATCCTCTTTGCGTGCTGTCTGCTTCACATTCTGGTTCCTTAACTAGAAGTGCTGCAAGTTGCCTCTTGCATAAGTCATAAATTCTAGTCCACTTCTGAGAGGCAAGTGAGTTCCAGTCCCTTTGCTCACTACTCTCTAAACTGTGATATTTTTAGTGCTGCACAAGCTGCATGGATACTGATGGACTTCTGGGTGTTGCAAAGGAGACTGATTCATGTCTAGCGAGGGTCTGGTGAAGGCATTGGAGCAGTGGACACAGATCCACTGGAGAGAGCCTGGCTCTGCGTGTGCAGGAGGCCAACTAGTTAAATTCACTCAAAGTCAGTAAAACAGCTCACAAATAAACCTCGATGTTGAAAGTGCACCTTTGGGGGAAAGTGCTTACAGAGAGAGCTGTCTAGAAATGAGTGATGAGATAATCCTTTAATTTCATCTATTTCAGGAAGCAGGCAGTAGGATAAGAGCTCTGAGCCCCTATTAGAAAGTTAAGTCATCATTGCAATGTCAAGAAAGGTCGACACCTCAGTCTGCAATCCTAAGGGAGGTCTGGAAGGAAAGACCAGTAATTGATCAGGGAACAAGTGCATTTTTACCCTCTTTAAATGGAAGGAGGTTCATGAAATTTGCCCCCCAGAACATAAAACTAAAACTGCTGGAGATTTATGCTGACTGTGGGTACGACTCCAAGAAAAGAACTGGGAGAGATAAAATGTGTGTGAATGCAGAAATCTTGTCTCTCTTTGATAAATCCTGTTACCACTGCAGCTTGGGTCTGGGATTTGGATATCCCTTCTGCTCCTTCAAGGACTCTTAGAGGACCAGTCACTGGTTTTCTATAAAACTGACACAGAGCTGTGATCTGTGAATCTGGAGGTTCTTTGCAGTTAATGCAGGTGATGCAAAACAAGGGGCACTTCACTTTCCCTGGGTGTGAAGGCCTTTGCATTGCTTAAGGCACTTCACCTTCCCTGGGTGTGAAATCTGTTGTATTGCTTAAACCCTCCCTAAGCCACTGGTGAGGGTTTAGGTGCAGCTCAGGCCAGGTGTGCTTGTGCACACTCTTGCTGTGCCATCCCAAGGTCACTGCCTGCCTCGGGCTCCCTCTCCCAGGGAATGGTGAGGGACAGGATGGCCAGTGGGAGCCCAGCAGTGCATTTCATCTGTGCTGCCTCGTGTGGTGCATTTGAAAGGACATCTGCAAAAAGGGGTCTGTGCCCTCGGTGGGATCCAGAGCTCGGTGAGGGGTGAGGGCTGGGGAGGATCTCATTTTCACCCAAGGATTTCAAGCACCTGATGGGGTTTTTTTGCCTTGCAGGTAATGATATATTGCAGTGGATCCTTCAGCGCTTGCAGATCACTGCAGAAGGTGGGTAAAAATGTGAAAATTGAGGTTTTTTCAGCTTTGAGTTACAAAACCTTAAGGTCTCCATAGGCAAAACCTTTTAGATGAATTCTTCTCCCCTGCATAGGAGCTCACTTTTAATTCCAGTGCAGTGTTTCTGTGCAATCAAAACGTCTGCCTTCTCCATTTTCAGAGGCACTCCACCTGGGAGACCTGTTTGTCAAATATGGATACATCTACCCTCTTCAGGAGCCAAAGAACCTCACCCTCAAGGCAGATGGCAGCCTGTACAGGTTTCAAGTGAGTTGCAACTTCTCTAAGCTGTTGTGAGAGGGTTCAGCACTAGTTTTTATTAAAAAGAGGCAGCTGGGGCAGTTCCCCAGGAGCTGTAGTCGTGAGTCCAGGCTGTGCAGCCCTGCAGTTGTTCAGTGTGCAGGAGGAAGGGATCCACAGAGAAGCCTCAGAGTGCAGTTTACAGGGAACCTGGGATAGTTTCTTCAACTAAATTAGTGTACTTGTTCAGCTTAATAATATCTGTGCTTTCTTCCAAATGTGTGTTCCCTTCCAGGTCTTAAAGTAGCAAATGGAATTGCTGGTTGGAAGTAGAATGATCTGGGATCATTGAATAATGAATATACAAAAAGCACAGTAATAAGGGGATGTTTTCAGTGTTTGTGGTTGGACTGTTTCCACTATGATGGGAAATCAGAGTGCCCTCACTGGTACTTGGAATGAGGAGTCTGGTTCCCACATGGTGCCAAATCAGGCTCCAGCATCTCAATCTGAGTGCTCAGCCAGCAGGGAGAGGCTGTCCATATTAACTGATGGGAGAGGTGGAGTGAATTTGATATTGGCAGTTGATTCTCCTTCTCTAGCTGTCCTGCACCACAGTGCCAGCTGACACACAGCTAAGGAGCTGAGGCTCTGAGTACAGCAGAGGAGAACGTTCCTCCCTCCAGTGTGGGTGGTTCCAGGTGCCTCTTGGCATGAGTTCAAGGCCTTTGTGCACTAACCAGAGACTCATTTCTCTGCAGACCCCCTATTTCTGGCCCGTGCAGGGCTGGGCTGCTGATGACACAGACTATGGTGAGTTCTGCACTGCTCGTGTTTGGGAGGTGTAGGGACAGCCCGTGGGTTTGTGCAAAGTCCTGCACCACGTTTACCCTTCCTGTCCTTGTGCTGCGTCTCCTCATCCAATACCAGCCCTTACTTTTATTTCATGCTCTCTTGTGAATAACTCTCAGTAGTGCTGAATTGAGGGTGTGACAATCTTGTGGTGGCCTTGATGAGAGAAAGTGCTTAAGCTCTTATGTTCCACCAAGATCCATCAGACAGGAACACATCTGAATTACCTTCCTGGGCAGGGAAGACTTTAAACACAGGATTAGATTTCCCTGAGCAGTTAAGTGTATTCCTGGATCTGAGCCCAAGACTATCTTCCTGTAGATTTGGATCAAACCCTGCATTCAGAGATGGTTCTTTCTTTATAGAATGCACAGTGGCTTCCAATATCTCCTGATGGCTCTTACCATAGAAATCTTATGTTGCCTTTATGATGCTTTTTAGTGTAAAGCTGGTCGTGAAACTTGGGCTGATGAGCTTGGTCTGCTGCCGTGGGCTGTGCAGTTCACAGACTGATTTGTTTACACCAACATTGTCCTCTGTGGCTTTTATCTGCATTAGGCTGCAGATCTCCCGGGGAAATAAAAAAGCCCATTTTTAGATTGGAATGTTTTTATTAGAACTTGAGCAAAACACTGGCCTGTGTTCGGGAAGCTTGGAGGTCAAACTCTGAAGAACCTCAACATCTGAAGGATTTGGTCCAGTATCCCTTGATCCATGAAAGCCTGGCTGAGTTCCCAAAGGAAGGGTGATTCCTGGCAGAAGGCACACGCCGCCGGTTCTGCCTGGCTGCTCCCAGCCTGGGCATCCCCGACAAAGTGAAAGCACCGAGTTCTTTTTTCTCCAGTGGGCTTTTGTGAGCCTGGAGCTCATGATTAGGAAGATATTGTAGCAGACAAAGACTCCTGGGTTCATCATGTGGGTAGATTTTTAATTGTTTTAATTGTTCTTGGACTTGTTGGTCTAGGTATAACTGACTGCTTGTTTGGTTCTCCCTGCACAGCAATTTATCTGGCAAAGAAGAACATTAAGAGGAAAGGGATTTTGGAAGAATATGAAAAGGTGAGGAGATCCTGCACTTGTTCCATGACAAGCCCCTCATTTGCTACAGCTTTAGCCCTCTCTTGCTAATGGAGCATGGCAAAAAATCACCTCTTTAATTGCATGAGGTGTTACTCCAGCAGTATCAAAAGCCCAAATTTTGCAAGTGTAAAAACAGCCAGTACAGATAAATGCTGTGAAGTGAATTATAATTTTAACAGGGGTAATTGCTCTCCTTGCAATGGGATTTTTGAACTGTTGCAATTCTTGTAATTACATTCAGAACAATCCAGATTTCCTGGCTCATTTACCAACTTGGCCTCCTTGAGCTATGGAGAGTCAAGAAAACCCCGGCATGGGAGTGCCCTGGTCAGAATTTTCACACTAACTGCTTTTTTTAATTTTTATTCCAGGAACATTACAACATGCTCAATCAAAAAATAAACTACAAGTGGGATTTTGTCATTATGCAGGCCAAGGAGCAGTATAAGTGAGTTGACTTGCATTCCCTTGTTTGAATCACTGGGGAGGGTACAAGGAGCAGAGCTTGGCTGTCTTGGTGCACAGTTAAATTACCCTTCAAAAACACCAACTGCAGCTTTAAAATGACTTTTAGGAGAGGTTTGGATTTTGCACCTGATGTGGCTCCCTGAAGAAGCCGAGGTCTGATGCTGCAGTGTGCAAGCCCTCGTTAGGGACAGCTTCAGTTAGCTCAGTGTTGTCCAGGAGCATTTGTGCACCAGGCCACTGGACTTAGGGCCTGTTGTTGGTCTGGATCAGTTATTACTTGCACATCTCACAGCTGAATGGAGTGCCCTGAATGAAGAAGCAGTAAATGCTCCCCGCAGAAAACTGAGGAGAAAACTGTGAGGTGCATACTGAGACACCCAGCTGAAATGACTTGATTTTAGAAGCTGAATCCTTCAAATAGGAAAGTTAGTGAATGTTAGATGGGATTACTCCTTTGGGCATAGGATCTTTCCTACTCCTGAGGATCTCTTTTACCTCCTTTTACCTCCCAGCTCGGCAGGCACTGCCTCTGCTGTTCAGCAGCCTCTCTGTCTTCCCTGGGATGGCAGCCAAGTCCCCGGAATACAGCTCATCAGATAACTGTCTCATTAGACACGAGACTGTTGTTCTTGTAAATTGAGGTCAGACTTGGGCTAAGGGATGCCAAATGCAGTTTTAAAGTCAGATACCGAGCCTGTGTCTGAACTAGCAGATTAAACTCGTCTGCGGCCGTTTGCTGGTGCTGCTGGGGCAGACTGGTGAGAGCAGCCTGCATCCACCCTGCTCACCACAGCAGGGAGGCCACATGCAAACAGCCTGTTGGGAATGCTCCCTTCCCCATGCTAAGTCCCAAACTGTGCCCAGGACTTTTCTGGGAAAGAATTAGTTGGTCCAAGCCCAAACCATGCTAGTGCCTCTTCTGTTTAATTGTAGAGGTGATTTGGGTTTTGGTGCCTGGGAAGGCTCCTTGGTACCATTTCCAAATAATTTCTTGTGAGAAATGACCCCACTTCGCTGTGAGACAGGGATGAGACGTGTCCAGGATGTATCTCTGTGTGGCAATATCCTCATATTTTGCCCGGGGACATCGGAGATGGATCAACATGAAGCAGCAGGACTGATGGAAAATAGCAGATTATCAGCATAAAGCTACCAAAGGGCTGCCTGTCTAATCAAAAGGGGATGTGTCTGCTCCCAGCTCAGCTCAGGAAGATGCTTGATTTCTCAAAAGCCATGTGTGGCCATGTGAACATGATCTGCAGGCCCAGAATTAGCTGAGGCAAGATGTGATCAGGAGGCAGCATCAGAGCGTCACGCTGGGACCCATGGGGCAGGGGAGGCTGTTCCCTGTTTCTCATCCCACTGGTTTTAGGAGGGGAAAAGTCACATATTCCCCTGTTGTTGGCTTTGCAGGGCAGGGAAGGAGCGGAAGAAGGAGGACAGGTACGCCCTGGACTGCCAGGAGAGAGCCTACTGGCTGGTGAACAGAACCCCCGTAAGTAGAGGATGACGGGGGGTGACTTTACTGCGCTCCGAGTGGGGCATTCCCAGATTCAGGGGGCAGAGCTTCCCAGGGCACAGCTGGCACTGGAGCCCTGCGGGGCTCAGGGGTCTCCTCGTTCATTTGTGGGATCCACAGACTTCAAACCAAAAGAGTCACAAAGCTGTTGATGTTTCTTGTTCATCACAGCCGGGCATGCAAGATGTCCTGGAGTACGGAGTAGACCGTGTTACTGATCCCAATGAAAATAAGGTAACCCAGGTGAGACAGCTGTTTGGTTTTTTTTATTCACACCTACTCAATTTGTTCAGGAGGACACAGAGAGTGTCCCTGGGACTGTTGTTTTTTTGGGCATGACAGGCTGAGTGTGTCAGCTCAGCTGTAACAGCCCAACAGGCCAGAGGTTGAGGTCGTCTCGTGTGGGAGGTGGGGCCTTCAAAATAGGCTTTGGCAGCTTCTTGTGGCTTGAAATTACTTTGTCAGCTTTCTTGCCACACCAGTTAGTGTGAGTGCTTGGCTACAGGACATGTATTCTTTGCTGGTGAGACTGAATTAGGGAATCCTCTATCTCCAAGTGCTCATTGCTGCCTTTTTATTAGGGCTGAATGAATTGAGTGGGGTTGTGGGGTGTAAAGGGTCAGGGGAAAGATCCAGGTTTAAAATCAAAGGACAGAATACCACCAAAAGGGTAATTAATGTGTGGTAAGAAGATGAAGATGTTGGTGTGGTGGATGGGAGACACAAAATGTTGCCAAAAAAATGCATATTATAGACTTTAAAGAAAGAGAATTAAAGAACTGAAACCATGGAGGCTGTAACTGGGTGAACTGGTTCAGTGTCCACAATAACACAGTTGCAGTCAGTGGATGAGGAGCTGGAGCTGCCTTTCCCTTTCTCCTTCAGTCCTTTGAAGTGATCCTGTATTTGTGCACTTGACTGTGTTCATTTGGAAGCAAAGTCAAAACATCTTTCAGCAATTAAATGCAAATGTTACTGTGATCACACTCAAGGTATTCCCACAACTTCCCATTTTTCTAACAGCCTTTAAACATCTCAGCAGCCAGAGGCAGGATAATTGCTTTGGCCAGCTGTGTTCTGTTGCTATAGAGACTGAAAAGGAGCAAAGTGTAGGCTTGGGGTGTATTTTATTTTTCCTTGCTGTAAGTAGCAGCTGTTGAAAGCCTTTTTTTAAATCTTTTTTAAGAGTAAAGAAGCGGTGGAAAGAGGAGTAAGCCAACTCCTCGCCCACAGTTTTACAGCTGACACGGAAAGGATTTTAGGTTTGCAAACGGTCTGAAAGCCCACAGCCATCTGCCAGCTCCAAGAGGAAGTGAGCTGAGGGATCTCTGTTCAGTTCTACCCTGGAATGAGAGGTGGTCAGTCCCCCCTGTCAGTGGAGGCTCCAAGGAGGGCATAAACCAAAAGACACCAGCTTTGGGGTGACTTCACTGCCCTTCCCCTTTAAGCTGGTCTCTGAGCTGGTCTGAAGAGGGAAAGTTCTTCTTGCTCCTTTTGCTTTTGAGAGAGCGATTGACAGCACATGAGGCAGCCAAAAGCCCACATGGAGTCTCCTTTGGACAGGCAGCTTTGTTTTTTAACTTCTTGCAGGCTCCTCTCACAGACACCTGTGGCTCAACAGCTTTGGTGAGCAGAAAGGATGGGCCAAGCTCTGATTTGTGTCTCTGTTCCTGCTCAATCCACCTTCACTTTGTTGGCCAAATAATTGGGGTTTTTATCTTGGCAGTTGAGAAAGAAAATTATTATTTTTTGACATCAGAGTGACTTCTTTGAAGCCGATATTGGCACGAACATCTTTCACTTGCCCAGACCCTTTGGTGGGCTGCTCCCTCCCTGACTGATAGAGTCCTCTGGGGATAAACAGGGGCTCGAACTCCTTTGAAGGGAACTTTTATTACTGACCCATGGGCATCCCTTGCTGTTATAATGAGTTAGGGGTTGTAGCTAAGGCAGAAGTAGCCATCCATCGAACAGCTAATTAAGTGTTGCTTTAGCCTTTTGTTACCCAGTTCTCAGACTCATGATTGAGCCTCACTGCTCACAGAGTTACCAGGCAACTGCCAGACCCGCTGAGTGCCTGCAGGTTCGTGCTCAGCTTCTGCCTCCTGTAACCAGAGTGTTTCTGAAAGGTGCTTCAGCTCCCCCCAAAATCGTTCTTCTGGATTCAGGGGCTGCTGAATGAGATGCCCTGGGTTGTTGTACACAGCAAATCAGCCACAGATCAACAAGTCATTGCTGGCCTTTAATTTTATAAGTCCCTGTCAGTTTGGCTGATAAAGTTCTGCTGCATCATCACATCTTTGGAAAGAGCAGGGCCGGGAGCAGATAAACAAGAGGGGGGAAAACTGGCCTTTGGAGTGAAACTGGGCGTATGGACTGTTAGGGATTTGCTTTCCAGCTGCTGGGCTGGATGCACCAGCACAGTGGAGATGAGTGTTGAGATGATCTCGTGCCAGACTTGGGATTTGCCTCTGGGCTGTAGGGAAAGGCCACGTCTGCCCCCGAGGAGGGGTGTTGGTGTGTGCAGGGGCAGCTCTGTGTGCCACAGTGCAGCTTGCAGTGTTGGAAGGGCAGTGCCCACAGGTTTGCCTTGCACTGAGCTCCAGGGGGAGGCCGAGCTGAGCTGCCCCTGCCCCGTGCTTGTGCAGGATTCCTGGGATCAGCCTTACATCTTGAAGAGCTCCGTGCTGTGTCTGTGTCGGGATTTGCAGTGTCCTGGTCGGTCCAAAATGAGCTCTGGACAACAACCTCTGCTGGTTCTTCTCTCCAAGCTCCATCTGGGCATACACCCCAAAGCTGTTTCCAGCTGTTTATGAGCTCTGTAAACAGGGAATGGTGGCCAGACAGGCAAAAACATAATGACCATCACCTCCCCGGTGTGGTCAGGAAGGCCCACGCCGAGAGCAGAGGAGATCCATGCGAATGGGTGGTTGGGAATTAGCAGATATCCCAGCTCTTGTTGGAGCTCGTGGTATCAGCCATGTGGATCAGGTCCAGGCACAGGCTCTGGAGCAGGTCCTGGCTGGCTCCCAGCTGAGCTCTGCAGCCTTTGTGCCCCGGGAGCGCTCAGCCAGAGGCACTGGGGTGTGACAAGGCCGGGCAGGGTGTCCTGGGGGCCACGATGTGTCCCAGGGAGGAGGAGGAAGAGGAGGAGGAGGATGTGTAACAGCTCGTGGCACTCGCCTGAGACAGACCCAGGCCTTTCACTAATTGCCATTTTGGTTGGAAGCCTGCGGGGCGGGGGAGCTGATCCGCGGTAATTGCGATAAGTCACTCGTTAAGGGCATTGCAAAATTAATCTCATTATGAGAAATGAGCCTTTTGTTCCAAATGTGATTTCCTCCCAAATGAAGGGAGAGGGGGTGGGTGGCGCAGGGCACTTTGGCACCGCTGCAGCCAGTCATGGGGGTGAGGATGGGTGGGGTGATGGGGACCACTGGCAGCGCTCAACAGGACACAGAGAGTATTCAGGGTCGCTTGGGGCAGCAGTGAAGCTGAGAACTGGTTGTGGGAGCACTGTGGGAGAAAGGGAAATGAAATGATGGGCAGCTCTGGGGTGAAACAGCTGAGATTCTTCCCAGTTACTGTCGATTTGGGAACAGGAAAGGGCTGAGCACAGCCAGCACCTGCAGCCTCACGGGGTGCTCAGCACTGGGCTCCCCTTTGGTTCTGCTGCAGTTCAGTGGTGCTCAGCCCCCTTTTCTGGGTGAGCCTTGGCACCCCACCAAGGCCCTCCTGGTTTTCCCAGGCCCAGCTGTCCACCACACTGCCCTCCACACTCAGACAGTGGCAGGAGGGGATTCTTGGTGTAGGGTGCACTTAAAAAAAAAAAAATAAAATCTTCCCTCGTTTGCAGACATGGCATTAGCTTTGATTTTGACTCACCCACATATAATTTTTGTATTGTCATAGCATTTTAATTCATGCCTTTCCTTTTCTATGTAACATTTAACTTACTGTGTTCTTCTTCTCTTTCCCACAGCTGTTTGTCTCGTGTGTGTGTGGTGTGCTGCCAACCTCTCAGACCCTTCTAGAAGATAACACAACTTTACTGCCACATGAGTTGCCTCCAAGCCCCTATGCCAGCACCCACCTCTCCTCACCCCATTGCACCAGGCCTGTCCGAGGCCCCCCTTGACAAAAAAAGTGGAGGAAAATAGGTTTTTTTAAAGACAAATAATGATTTTAATATGTTAAAGTCAATGCCTTAGCCACACTTAAATTCCATCAAATGCAACTGTTCAGCTGGCACTTGTAAACCTGATGAGGTCTGGCTTATATCTCATGTTCCCCAAGGAGATAGGGAACTCCTGTTGTGCAGGAGGCAGCTGGCCTGCAACAGAAACACAGGTCTCTAAAGAGGACACTTCTAAGGCAGTAAATCAGCAAATTTCTCTTCTCAAGCAGGTGATTTTTTTTTTTGCCTTCCATTTCTATAGTCTGTCTGAAACAACAGCACTGTAGAAATGGGGGGAAGAAATGGTGTCAGCGTGGAAGGTGACCTGGCATCAGGGGTGCAGCAAAGAGCAGAGGAGGGTGAAAAGCTGTTCCTTGCTTATGGGTCCTCCATCATTTATAAGATTTATAAGATATCCCAGCAGCCTGTGAGTCAGTGAGGGAGGTTTGCTGTCCTGTTTGTCCCTGCTGAGATGATGTGTGCTGCCACATTCGGAGCTGGTCGTGGCATTTCCAGCAGGAAAAGCTTCCTCCCTTTCTCAAAGCCAATGTGATTTCTGTTGGTGCTGCTCTGGCCAGGCTGGGTCAGTGTTAGGGTCAGATGGGTTGGCTCCATGGTAGTGCTGTAGAGATTGACTGATCTGCTGCATATCTGGCTCCTGCTGCTGAAATGGTGAGTGTGCCCTCCCAAAACCAAGCAAGTTTCAGCAAAATGTGCATATTTTTCTTCCATGTACAGAGCAGTTTCTCCATCCTGAGCAGGACTAGTGATGATGGTTAAAATGCAAAAGCAGGTCTGCACCACGATGGTTCCCTCACAGAGCAGCCCTGGGGGAACATCTTCCCTTTCCAAAAACAGGGGCAGCTCAGGGTGCAGGTTCTCTGGGGAGATGAGGGGAGAAGCAGAGCTGCCTGTGGCATTTGGTACCAGATGCTTCATCCCTCACCTCTCACAAACTTCACCAAGGAACTCTGCAGACCCCTGCCTGCCACAGGGTTACTTTGATAGAACTTCTGAGATGCAGATCTTGGCTAAAACGGGAACTGAAGAACTGAAACCCCTCCCGAGCCTTTAAAGTCTTGCTGGGAGCATCCCTGACTTAGCCTGTCTTTCCTTCTCCCTTCTGCAGTTTATTTCACACAAAGTAACTGTGCTTCAAAGGAAGCTGTGTGAATAAACACCCTGCAGTTAATTTCTTGCCTTCAATTGCTTGCTCATTTGTGGATGACATGTAACATAGTCTGAGTTATTCAAATCACAACGTAAACACCCCTTGCACAGCAGATACTGCTTCTGAGGCTTTTAATTGTGGTGTTTATATTTTGCAATGTGTTGGTTCCTGTCTCCTTTAGCTAATATTGAATGATCTAATCTGTGTCTCGTAAATGAATCTATTTTAGCTGCATTAGAATAACCTCTTAATTGAAGGCATGCAGGCAGCCTGTGATGGGAGAAGCAATGCTAAACAGTAAATACAGCTAATGGGACGATTTACCGTGTGTGGATGCTCTTAGCTTTGATGATACCCTGATTAGCTGAGCTGCTGTGTTTGATTTTAATTGTAATGAGAATTAATTGGAGAGCGCTGTGCAGTGGCAGCCCTGCAACGGTGTTTCCTTGCCTCAAAAAAAAAAAAAAAGGCAAGTTTAATCACCCATCCCAATGTAATGGTTTTCTTTCTTTTACAGAAAAATACTATGGAAGCTTATAGGAGAGAGGTAAGTGCTGCTTCCCTCTCTTCCAGGTGTTCATCCTACATCAGCGAAGGATGGGGGCTCAAACCCCCTGTGCAGGGGGTGTTTTAAAAACAGAGTCCCTGCCCCATGGAGCTTTTGGTCAGTGGGCTTTCAGGACATTCCCTGCCTCTGCACCTCCCAGTGCAGGCAGCCAGCAGCTCTCCCAGTGACGGGAAGGCTCAAGCAAGGACAGACACCAGGGCTGAATCCAATAGATCAGAATTAGTGGTGGGGAAATCACAGGAGATACATCCAGTGGCGCCAGCACAGAGACAGCCAAGAATCAATGATAATTACATGCTAAATCATCCAGAGCATTTGTAGGTGCCGAGGATGGTAGCTATTATTCAATTTTTATATAGCATGGGGAGCGCTTTTTAATTACTTGCACATTGCAAAATGCTCTTCTGATGTTTGCAGTAAGCTCAGTGAAAACAGACATTTTACTGGGGCAGTTTAGGGATTCTGTGATTCCTTGGACGTGCAATAATTAGGGAAGAAGCAGTCCCTGCTGTAGTTAGCCTCACTGCCTGGGAGGGGGCATATCTGAGGTTCAGATAGGCCTTGTCTTCATATCTCCACGCTCCTAACCATGGCCATGTCTGATCCCTCTCAGATCATGTACTATCAGCAGGCCATTGGGAAGACCAGAGTGAAATCTTCTGTCTCTCTTGGAGGGTAAGTCCTGATTTCCTTCTGTCCACACATTAATTAGTCTTCAGTGCTTATCTCCTAATGAGATGATGAAGCTGTCTGCTCCGGCAGCTGGTGACTCAGCCGGGGAATCGATGTGGTGGCCTCACGCTGGGCTGTCTGGGCTCTGTGTTGTCTGGGCCAGGAGGCAGAGGAGGGATCAGAGTCCCAGGCAGGATGAAGAGGCTCCCTGGGAGCAGCACCAGCCCCTGGGTTGAGATTCCCTCTGAAATCAAGGGATGCTCAGGCTGGGCCAGGCTGTGGCGCTGGGACACAGCTCTGCAGTCTGGAAAAGCAGCTGAGTGGAGCTGCCTTGTGAGGGTCCAGCAGGGATGAGCAACCAGAGGGGAAAGGCTGACCCTCCAGCTCTTGGTTACCAGCCTGCTAGGCTGGATTCACCCCTGTGAGTGTTCCTGCTCCATGGTGATGTTCACCAGAAGGCAGCAGAGCTGGGAAGTCGGTGCTGGTTCTGTATTACAGAGGAACACACTCCTCTCCATGAGAGTAATTAATTAGCAATTCCTCTTCCCAGTGGGAGTGTTTCCTGATCAGATTCTTGATGCAGCCAGTTAAGTGCAAAGCCTCCAGTCCTGGCATGAGCCATCAATGTGTTTGCCAGAGGCATTTCTCACCTGGAGCCTTGTGTGCTGACCAAGTGCAGCCCATAGCACCTGTCTGGTTTCCACAGTCATTGCCACCAGAGATTCATACCAGATCTAAGATAAACAAGGTGCTCAGGCCTGTTCTCTGGAGAAGACAGTCATGGATGAATGAAATGGGAGGGAGAATCTGTCTTCTGAGAGCCAGGACTTGCAGGGCACCAGCAGTTCTGCTCGTTTAATCTGTCACTGACTCGAGGTCACTTCAAACTCTCCTGCCTCAATTTTCCGAGCTGGAGCTGGGGACACCTGGCTACATTCCAGGAATTTTGTGTTGCTTAACTGTTTGGCAGTGGGGTTTTTCACTCATTAGTTCTGCCTATCACCTAGATGAAAAATCCTCAGGAAATTTGGAGCTCCATGTCAGCTGCAGGATTGGGTCCAAATCAAATTATTATCGATGAGCAGCGTGCACGCTTCAGACAATTGCATTGATTTAGGAGGAGCTCCAGAGCACTAATCATCGAAAGGACAGGGCTGTGTTACCTGGGTTGGCAGTTTGAGATTTGTTTGATTAGAATATATGGACTGTAGTGAAATCATGCAGGTGCTGGATGCCTTGGCATTTGCAGTGGGAAGATGGGATCGAGCCCTTGTGTGCCAGCCCGTGGTTTGCTTTGTGCAGGAGCGTTGTATAACTGCAGGATCTGTGCCAAAGTGCCCGTTAGCAACGGGCCCTTGGACAGTGCACTGCCAGCTCTGAGCACATGAAAGCACTTTGGCCTGGGGGGAATTTTAAATGCAGAAACCAGATGATTTTTTTTCAAGAATGAAAAAGGGAGGAGAGAGCTAAAATTCCGGGACATTAGTGAAATCGGTTGTAATTATAAGTCTGGCCAAGTTAGAAGGTAGGAGAAGTGTTTGTCTGGTTCCTGCTGGGATGGAGACAGTTTTGCTTTGTGCCAAGCCCTCAGAGCCATTTGCAGAGGAATGAGCTGTGTGGTAGGTGAGGGAGGAAAAGAGGAGCTGAGATGAGCTCTCAGGACTCCCTCAGTTTCCTGGAGCTCCCTGGGCTCTCCCACAGCCCATGGGAAGGCTGGGGAGAACCTACCTGAGTGAACACAGAGCTTGTGTTCCTCTTCTCTGGCACTTCCCTCCCAGGATGGTGCAGGATCAGGCCTTTGCCAGCTGGCTGGAGAAGGAGACAGAAACCATTGGGGGGCTTAGTCCCACTTCTTGAAGTGAAGGGGCAAAAGGAGATGATTGAAGAGAGTCTTGTATCTCCTTACCCTTGAACTGACAAATTCACTGCTTTGAAAGACAACCAGGAGATTTCTGTTTGGGAAATGGAAAAGGTTAACTGAACTAATGAATCAGTTTTTCTAGGAGGGCAGGGGTCATGTTCCAGATCCCTGTTGCTGATAGGGCTGCACCTCTGAGGAGATCTATAGACTGTACAACCAGTTTTGTGGTTGTGATGGGGCTGGCTGCAGTTCTGGCTTCAAATTAACGTTTCGATTTTGGATTTGTTGCAGGCTTGTGAAGTACTCTGAGCAGTTCCTCTCCAATGATCCTATCCTGTCTGGATGCCTCCCCAGCAACCCCTGGATAACAGATGACCCTGAGTTCTGGGATCTCAATGCAAAGCTGTATGTATTTGTATTGTTTTGCCAGCTTGTGGTTTACACTGACCCTTATGCTGATAGAAATCAGGAAAGGGAACCACTGATTTCATTGTGATATCTGTTCTCTGATCATGAGCAGGGAAGTGTTCCCTTTATAACATTGCTGGGCCGTGCTAAAGAAACTTGGGAATGCTCCATGCTGAACTTCCAGCACTGCCTTCTTCAAGTGGAGCCTTCCTTAACGTTACAGAAATTCCTGAACTGATGATGGGAGTGTGCACTCAGCCCCTGCTGAGTGTGTCTCATCCTGCCCTTGGATGAGTGAACTCCACCTTTACTAGCACAGGAATGGGATATGACCAGTTGCACTCAGGTGTAGCACGTGGTTTGGTGTTTACCTCGATTGGGTGCTGACAGTGATTCAGCAATTCAGGGTTCAGCTGCTCCCCTTGGTCACACCTCAGGCTGCTTTCTTAGGAGAGACTTTGGGTTGGAGGCACACACTGGTGATATGTCCTTTCTCTCCCTTGGTTTTCCCTCTGGATAATATTTGCTAATTACACAGTGGCACCTCAGGGCTTGAAGCAAACAACATCTCACTGGTGCTCGTGTGAGAGCAGCAATCCTGTTAGAGTGATTCTGTCCCATTAGACAGCCCCAGAGGATGCCTTCCCTGAATGCCTTTATGGGAAGCAAAGCTTTGGGCAGCAACCAGTGCCTCCTCCAGAATGGGACTGAGTCAAACCTCAGGGCCAAGCTGGGCTGTCACTCAGAGAGCAGCATAAATCCCAGTTAAATCCTCATCCCGCTGCGGACCGAGTTGTTTAATTACAACTTAGTGGGTTGACTTCGGGAGCTCATTACACCATTCTGGAAAACAGAGAGTGCTGAGAAGTCCCTTGGCATTCCAGCAAAGGGCATTTTGCTTTTAATTAATCTGCTAATTAGGTGGGCCACACGAAGTTGGCAGAGCTGTTTGTTTTTCTCCCCGGGCAGGGTGGAAGTCCCCACCAGGATGCGCGTGGAGAGATGGGCCTTCAACTTCAGCGAGCTGATCCGAGACCCCAAAGGGCGGCAGAACTTCCAGCTCTTCCTGAAGAAGGAGTTCAGCGGTGCGTCTGCTGTGTCCCTGTGTCCCTGCCTGTGTCCCTGGGCCGAGGCAGTGGCAGTGCCACCGAGTGCAGGCAGGGAAGGGCTGTCGGAGGCAGCGGCTGTGCAGCCAGGGCAGCTGGTACCATCTAGTGGCACGGGACACACGGTACAGCCGGGACATTCCCGGCGTGTTTAGATGAGATTTCAGGAAGGAATTCTTCCCTGGGAGGGTGGGGAGGCCCTGGCACAGGTTGCCCAGAGAAGCTGTGGCTGCCCCATCCCTGGGAGTGTCCAAGGCCAGGTTGGAGCAACCTGGGCTAGTGGAAGGTGTCCCTGCCTATGGCAGGGGGTGGAACAAGATGATCTTTAAGGTCCCTTCCAACCCAAGCCATCCTAGGATTCTGTGATTCCTCCTGGAGAAGCTGGAACTGGCTGAACTCACAAGCTCTTAGGGGTGTCAGTGGGCAGAGAGCAGGGGAAAGCTGTTTTCCTCCTTCAGTCCCAAGAGGATTTTCCAGCTGGCTGAAGAGTTGGAGAGGCCGATTTAGGGCCAACACATATTGAGCCAAACAAATTTAGCCCAGGAGTAAATAAATGGGATTGTGTTTTCCTCAGTCTCACTCTCTGCCGATTGTCTCCTTGTTATGCAGGAGAGAATCTGAGTTTCTGGGAAGCGTGTGAGGATCTCAAGTATGGAGACCAATCCAAGGTCAAAGAAAAAGCAGAAGAAATTTACAAGTGAGTGTGAAAATTTTACATTCTTAAACTCTTTGTACACGGGTCCCATCACTTTCCACTGCCTGTCATTCTCCAAATGATTTATTCCTGAAACTTTTTTGTGTAACCTGTGGCTGTCTTATGACCCCACATAAGAACCTTTGGAGATGAAAGCAGAAGTGTTGTTCTGTTATGTTGGTACTTTTCCTCTCTGTTCTCCACTATGACATTTCAGTATCAGCATGTAATTTAAATAGCAGTGTGGAGTAGCAGAAATCATGGGGCTGCCATGAGGAAAGTGGAAAGACCCTTTTGCTTCCAGTGGGCTAAAATTTGGTTTATACCATGTGCTCACAGCTCAAGAGGAAGTGTCTGCGTGTCTCTGGACATGGAGATTGCCCAAGATCAGGACAGCAAATTGAGTGGGGAGCTGAAGGGACTTTTCCTTTTGTGCATAGGCAGGAATCCCCATGAATTCCCCAGTTGCTAATGGCACTGTGGGTCCCTCCTCCATGCAGGCTCTTCCTGGCTCCAGGAGCACGGCGCTGGATTAACATCGATGGCACAACAATGGGCATCACAGTCAAAGGCCTCAAGCACCCTCACAGATATGTTCTAGATGCTGCTCAGACCCACATTTACATGCTGATGAAAAAGGTTTGTTATTTGTTTCCAAAACCTAAGAGGGATTCCAGTCCTCTGGGCCTTTCCCAGTGCCTTTGTGTGTTATGAGCTGTCTCTTCCAAGGGGTCTTAGTTTGAAAATCCCCCGAGTTTGCTGAGTTAAGCAAGTGCTGCTTCAGGCCTTTGTGTTTTGCTGCTGCTTCTTCCCTCTAAGTCAGCCTGTCCCCAAGGTGGTGAGGGTCAGGTGGCTGCTGGAAGTCCTGCTTTCTAATTCCACCAGCTCATGCACGTTGCACTGAAAGCAGCAGAACCAGACTGATTTTTCACCCCTTGATGAAGAGTTTGGCTCCTGAAATACAAGCTCCTCACCTTGCAGTGACTGTGACACCCTGCTGGCCTGGGTTAAGCTCCGTTCAGATCTTTTGAGCTGGGTCTTACCTGCGAAGCTTTATTGTGAGATGGAAAATCCTGGGAATTTTTACACCAAGATGAAAGGGTATTGGTTTAAATAGCTACATTTGCCTGAAAGATGCAAAGTCCCTTGGGCTGCTGGGGGAGATTATCCAGTTCCCAGCCTCCCTGGCTCCTGAGCAGCTGTATTTGGTGGTGATTTTAATAAGGGTGTTTGCAGCCCATAACTACCAGTTTCTCTTTTTTCTCCTAGTAGGACTCCTATGGCCGCTATTTAAAGTCTCCAATATACAAGGAAATGCTGGCCAAGGCTGTTGTGCCACAAGAGACTGTCAAAAAAAGGCAAGTGAAACTGGCTGTAATTGTGGGGTTTGTTTTCCTTGTTGTAGCAAGGGTAGAAAAAGCCCAAGTTGCAGCAAAATTACTATGATTTAGATGTTCTCTTAATTAAATAAAATTTTTCACTGAGAAGATGCTTTGCTTTGAGACTGCTGGTGCTGTTTATTCATGAGCCCTTTGGAAGTGGCTTGTGTGCAGTCGGAATAGACGTGACAACTCTCAGCTGCCTCCACTGTTGGGTCTGTTTAGAAGGGCTGTGACTGTTGAATTAATCATGGCTTCTTTCCTGGAAGGAGAGAGCACTGTGTCCTGGGCATGGGAAAACTCCTGCCCATGAAACATTGGCTGCCAGAGCAGAGCCAGAGCCAGGGTTCAGGATCCTCTGTGGGATCTGCTCAGCTCTGCCTGGACAAAGCTGCTTAGGGGAGGTGACAAGCACATGGGAACAAACAGCACCTTGCTTGTGAGTGACACTTGGCACAAGGTGGAAGCCCTTAGAATTGGGTTTTTCCTGAGCAAGGTGAAGATTGTACAGCAGATTTAGGCCATTTGAACTGCAGTTGCTCCTAAAGCTGAGTGGGCAGTGTTAGAGCCACACTGGGTGATGTGGTCCTTTCTCTGTTCCTCTTCCACTCACCAACCCAGCAAGCAAGAAAGAGGAATTGTGGACTTTCACACTGTTTTTTCATCTAAAGCCTATTTCAAGGCAGTGGAAAAAGCCCTGCTGCTGACTTGCCTGGGGTCTGGTTGGTTTTTCCCTGAGCCACACATCACGAGGTCACTGGCTGGGGCTGGTTGATCCTGGTGGCTGCCTTTGTGCTCGTCAGTGCTTGTTCTGGACACTCAGTACTCAGCATCCTGTAAAGCTGGAGAGCTGGTACCTCATCCAGAGCTGGGTTAACTCTTGTTCCCAGTGCTGCTGCAAGTGGCTTTGCTGTAGCAGGGAGCAGGTGGTTTTTTGGGGTATCACAAAGAAACGCCCATACAGGACCCTGTCTTGATCTTACTTAGGATAGTAGAGAAAATTCCACTGATGTACACTGTTTGGCTCCACAACCAGTGTGAGTTATGTGCAAACACAACAACAGGAGGAGTGTGGATGGGCACTGGAGCCCCTCAGGAGCAGGACCAGCACTGCCTTTACGCTTTTAGCAGTTCTGTAGCTGACGTGTGACAATGAGTCACCCAGTCCTGCTTTGAACCACCTCCTCTGCATTTTGCACTTCTTTGTCCGTCCCTGTGCCCGAGCTCGCCCTCCTGGTGACTTTGCTTACCAGGGGTGAGGGTTTGGTGCCCTTCTCCTCACTAACACCCTGCTCCTTTCCCTCACTCCCTCCCAGCACCGGCCTGTTCGGGCGCCGCCACCTCCGCTCCAGCCCCAGCCCCATCATCCTGAGGCAGCAGGAGGAAGAGGCCAAAGCCAGGGAAGCCGCCGCCACCGTGGACATCACGCAGGTCATGAGCAAGCTGGACCGCAGGAACCAGCCCCAGCCTCCCAAGTAGGCTCTGAGCCCCGCAGGGCACAGCGCAGGGAAAAGACAAGCCGAGGCCGGTGTTGAGCTTCGTCTCCCCTTCCTGAAGGTGTCAGTGCTGCTTTAGGTTTCCCAGGCCGGCTCTCTGCCGTCAGCCGGCTTCCCGCACGTTGCCATGGCTTCTGGAGAGCAGATGTCACTTCCCAGGCGTGCCAGGCAGGGAGTGCTGGCAGGGCCGGGCTGCTGCCTGTGCCAGGCTCGGGGGGCAGGACCCCGGCTCCCCCCACACACACCTCGGAGGGGAGATGACTTCTGGCTGTCCCGAGATTCCCCCCGGGAGGCTGGGTAGCCCAACTGCCTCTCCCTGCCTCCTGCTCTTCGGGGAGGTGGGATGGCACCCAGTAAAGTGCTGCTGTCCCAATCCTTTGGGTCCAAACCAGCCTTCCTGGGAGCAGAGCTGGATGACCCCGAGGGGAGCAGGGAGAGGTGACCCACCTCAGAGTGTCCATGCTGGCTCCCATCCCCTAGGGGGATGTGCACCCTCCCAAGGGGTGCATCTGGCACCCCCTGAGAGGAGCACACCCCTCACTCCAAGTATCCTGCACCTCCCAGCTAATGCAACAGGAGCCCAGGCAGAAGAGCCAGGGAGGCTCCCTACTGTGAGATCAGCAGCATGAGCACTCCTGAAGGTTTGGTTGACCCTTTGAATTTGAATGTCACTCCCAGATCCTCCCAGCACACTGGAGATGATCAGTGGGAAGCTCTGCTCTCCCTGTGCCGTGGGCTGGGTGTGCAGGTGCAAAGAGCCACCCCTTGCCAGAGCCTGCACGAGACCCTGAGAGATTTTATCAAATCCTTCCCACCTCTTGTCTTGTCTTTTTCCTGCTCTTCTATTTTGTCTTGTTAAAAAACCCAACAGGAGGTAGTTCCAATTGTAGCCCAGAGGCAAGAGAGGACAGGGTAGAGGTGTTAAGAGCTGATTTAAACTTTAAGTAGTGTTTTTCTTTTTATTTGCTCTGTCTCTTTTGCTCTGTAGAATGAGGCAAACTAAAATACTATTTTAGTGCTAAAGGGCTCGGGGAGATTCCAGGCTTTGCTGGGAAAGCACAGCATGTCTGGACCAGGCCAGTGATTACCAGAAGCGCAAAGATTCCTGCAAAGCCCAGTAAAGGGAATTGGAGGGGCAGAAAATCTTCCTTGTTTGTTAAAATTTTAGGGAAGTAGAGGGACTGTGTGGAAGCACTGAGGTATGGGAAGCTGCTTCTCTCTGGTTTTTATTGTTCATCCATTTTATATACTGGTAGGATTTCACAGGAAATGGGAGATCATAGGATCATTGAATTGGGTTGGAAGGGACCTTAAAGATCATCTCCTTCCACCCCCTGCCATGGACAGGGACACCTTCCACTAGACCAGGTTGCTCAGAGCCCCATCCAGCCAGGCCTTGGACACTTCCAGGGATGAAGCTGGAGAAAGCTGGATGGGAAGGGGGCCCTCAGATAATGGGATGCATGCAGACCAGCCCCTTGGAGCCCTGGGGTCCATGCAGGCCAACTGCCTGTGAACAGGGGGACAGTCAGGATGTCACTGTCCCAAAACAGCCTGAACAGTGACTCCTGCCCTCCCCATGTGTGTTACCAGGGGCAGAATCAGGGCTGCACAATCTGATCTGGTGTCACTGCAGAACTCCTCTCCTTCACTTGTGGCTGAGCCAGGGAGATTTTCCTGACCTTCATTAACCTGTCGGTGATAAACCTTCTTAGAGGAATTGAAACCAAGTTGCCCAAGACTTTCACTCTGATGTCAAGGCCTGTGCTGTCTCTGCTCTTACTCCTGGTGGAAGCAAAGGCACATTTTGCAATGCTCTGCAGGGGAGCAGGATCAGCCTTTTCTTTAATTCCTCTTAAAACCCCAAGGCTTTGTTATGTCAGGTGCTGAGCACCATCAACCTACCTTGACATAAGAGCACTGAAAGATACTCCAAAACCTGGCAGGGTTGGTCCAAAGCTCCTTGGCTGTGATGAGCCCTACAGTCTCTTCAGAGTTTGTGTAACATGGAGCACTGAGCATGTTGGGATTGCCAGTATGTAGTAACATGTGGAAGATCAAGTCAGGGTATAAATAATAAATAACAAATCTGTGTGTTCCAGTCAGTCCCTCTGATTCTACTTCTATTTTGTCTGCTGCTTTGCTTGTTATGTTCTCTGTACCCATTCCTTTCTCTGAGTTTTCATCATCTCCGCTTTGCACCGCTGTTCCCCTGCCATGGGTTAGTGTGACATGTTCAGGAATCACTGTGTTTGTGGAACAGCAGTCACTGCTTGTGGAACACCTGTCTGACACACACAGGCAGGGGCTGGCTCTGCTCTGCCAGGGGCTGAACGAGCTGGCACAGCCCAGCCTTCTGCTCCTCGTCCCTTGCTGCTCAGTCCCCGAAGAGGAAGGTTGCCTGGCACAAGCTGAACTTCACTTTGTGCCAGAAATTGTTTGTTTCCATTGGAAATCAGCAATGTGTTGTTTCATTTCTTGGCCATCGCTCCTGCCCATTCATCTGTCTAATAAAAATAAATGTAGAAAATGGAAGAAGAACCAAGTTCATCCTTCTCTGTCTCAGTGTGTTCATTGCTCACTGTGTCATCACTGCATGTGTGTGTACATGTTCTGTGTGTGCCTCTGCCCTCAGCCCTTCTCCTTGGGCACTTGAGCTGCATTTCATTTCTGCTGGGAGTGAATCCTTGGGAAATGGGAGGGGACCCAGCATGCAGCTTGTCCTCTGCTGCTTGTCCTGTGCTTGTCCTGTCCAATTTATACTTGGGCTTGTCCTGAGGGCTGAGTGAGCTGAGCTGGAGCCTCCACAGCCCCAGCCAGGGACACTGGGGGCTTCAGCACAAGATGTGATTTGTATTACCAGTCGTCAGGGCTCGGGCTCAGAGTCTGTTCCTTGGGCACGGCAGCAGCCAGCACAGTGCTGCCTTGAGTGTGACATGGCTGTGGTGTTCATAACCAAGATCACATTCTCGGGATGACAGGCTCCCCCGTGCCTGGAGCTAATCCTTGTGAGGAATGAGACAAGCTGGTGTCCCCTCCAGCATCCCAGCAGGCGTGGGGCCGGATCTGTCAGCACCCACTGGGGCTGGTAGCAATGACCCCGTTGCTTTCCGTAGGCAAGTTGTGACACCTCTGCGCTCCTGCTGGAGGGCAGGGAAGGGGACAGAGCTGCAGGGTGGGGACACTGGCACAGGCCTGGCTGGGGTGGCTGACAACTGCCTCCCAGCTGAGCCCTGTCTCTCCTGGCAGCACTCTGGCACTGGGCCCTTCTCCAGAGAAGCAGAGGGCTTGTCCTCCTGATGGAGCCTGGGGAGACCAGCCACCAGTGTGCCACCCCCGAGCCTGACTGAGCCTATCTCCTTTTCCTCCCCACAGCCGTGCCACCTCGCCTCCCAGGCCCCTCGCCCGGCTGCCCACGCTGGCATCAGCACCCCTCCATCGCCCACCCTGCCTCCCACCCCGCCCGGCCCCCCGGCCCTGCCCCACGGCACCGCCTGCCCCTCGCCCACCAGCCTGGCCCTGGACAGCGGCGGCACCGTGGGCACCCTGCAGGACCCCCGGGGGGCCGGGCCCGGACCCTTCCCCTCGGGCAGCAGGAGGTCCCTGGGCCGGTTCCTGAGGAGGGGCTGCTGGACCTCGCCCACCTTGGCCGCGCTGTCGCCCCGGTGCCCGGCCGTGCCCCACGGGAAGGTGCAGCCGCTGGGAGAGCGGGAGCGGCGGCTGCGCCCGAACGCCAAGGTGGTCAGCAGGTCAGTACTGCCCGGGCACCTGGGCATCCTCCCCTCCACCACCATTGCTCTTTGTCATTAGCCAGAGGTCTCCAAGAACCCGCCCGACAGCTGCCTTTCCTACCCTTGCTGCTAAACCCCACCAATCCCACCTGTGCCACCTAAATCCCAGCCAGGCTCTGGAATTGTCCCTTCCCCCTGTCTCCACACCTACTGTCCACATTGGATGTGTTTTCTGGTGGGATCGGGGCGGGAGCCCACTCCGGTGGTGCCTCTGCTGTGCTCACACCTCCTGTTCAGGGGTGCAAAACCCCAGGTTTTACTTTTAATCCCTCAATTTGGAAAACCACTCGTATATTTGTGTTTGTTCTCGAGTGCTGGTTCAGGTTTGGTTTAGTGGTTTCAAGTCAGAGGAGACCCAGAAGTGACAAGGGAGGAGAAATCTTGAGGGAGAGTCGTGAAGCATTTGTTGCTCTGGGGCAGGAGGTGTGAGAGGGGGGATTTTTTCTGGGAGAGGCTCTCCCTGTTGGAACCAAACCCTGGCCATGTCCCTCACTCGGAGAACCATGCCCCTGCTCTCACTTAACCCACCTCTACTGCTGACCGAGTGGATGAGTCCACATTATAAATTCAAAAGCACAAACCTGGGAGCCCCTGCTCCACCTGGCTCCGGAGCTGTGTCACACGGCTTCTCAGCTTCAAAGGGGTGGGAGCTCACGTTCCCCTCTTTTTCCCTCTCGGTGGGCTCGTGCCTGGGCGCTTTGCTTTGGGATTTGGGGTTTGAACAGTGGAAGTCTCCAAGCCGGGCTCAGTTCGCTGCCTCAGAGCACATCAAAAGGTGCCGTGTGTGTGTGTGATGAGTCTCTGTTTCACAACACAGCTTCTTCCAAGTCAGAACGGACGCGCCTTCGGAGAGCCAGGTGTGCCCTGAGGGCTCCGAGGAGGGGGAGGACGGACACCCCCGGGCTCGAAAGGACTCTGGGAAGGAGCTGATCTGCCCCTGGGAGACCCCCACGGAGGAGGGGAGAGCGGAGTAACAAGCAGCCCTGGCATGGATGCTCTTTCCAGGCCCGAGACTGCAGTGGGTCAGCACATGGACCATGTTGGAGAACTCCATTAGAGCCATCCCTCAGCATTGGGGATGCTCAGACCACCACAGCGACGGATAACAGACCCTGCAGTGCCCGTTTGTAATCCAAGAACTCAGAGTGTTTCTGGACTGGTTTCATTTCCTATCTTTGGTATATCCAGGTCTGTTCATGACAGACTTCTCCATAAATGAACCTCTTTCCTAGCCTTGGAGCAGATGGAGAGTCTATGTGTATGTGAATGTCTTGGAAATGGTGTCTTATTGGAGTTTCTTGCTTGGCCATGAGGTGTCAGCACACTGAACACAGCACAGCTGGATCAGGGCTGGGGTTTTTCACAGCCTGACTCAGGCTACAGTGCCAAGATTGGGGTGCATTTGTGTCCCCAGCCTGGGTCTGCCTCTTATTAATAACAATCTTTTAGTTTAAAAGCAGGTTTATTAAGACACAGATGATTGCTGGGGAAAACAAAGTGTCCCCTCATGAGAAGCTGTGTGGCATAGCATCATTCCTTCATCCAAACCAAAATTGATCCCAGAGGGCAAGGAGTGCAGAAGGGAGGGCAGAGGCTCCAGAGCCCTCCTGCACGAGCTCCAGCTTCCCAGTGTGTGGGTTTGAAATGACAGCTTGAACTGCACCCCAGAAACACCTTGGGAAGATCCAAACCAAATTTTGAGACCCTCCAAAGTTGGATTGATGCAGTGCCACGGCCTTTACCTGTGCTGACATCAGGAGTGTCAGACCATTGCCTTCCTTATGTCGTGTGGTGTTTGAAGGTGGTGTTTCGTTCACGTGAAGGAGTTTCCTCGGTGTGTGTGCTGTGGGTCACTGTTCTGTAGCTTGGCCATGACCTGTGACTTCTGATGTTGCTGTTTTGTCCTTTCTGATCATAAATGGAGCTTTGTCTGTGTGGCTGCTGTGGTTCCTCACTCCTGCTGTGGGATTTTAAATCTCTCCTCACACGCACTCAGTGCTCCCCATTTCCCCCAGGCCTGGGGGGGACACTTCTCATCACAGGGCAGTTTGGGAAGGTCAAGAGGCTGTTTCTGTCTCCAAAGCCTCTTTCCCAGGGGAGCTGAGGGTTGGGCAGGAGGCTGATGCCCCACACTGCCTGTGATGCTTCTCTTGTAGAAATGCACATTGGCTCTCGCTGGCTTTGCTCTGTCGGAGGGACACGGTCCTGCTCCACGGTCACTGGTGGTGGCACCTGTTATTGATGACACAGAATGTCATGTCTTTTGTGATTTTTTGTGTTAATATTGTTACTCAGCCACTCTTGATGGGACACTGACAGCATATGATCCAGGAAACATGACAGGAAGGCATTGTGATGTGTAACACACAATATGATATTTAATGTGCATATGACAAGAGCCATCCTACTGCTAATGTTTCTCTCATTGGTTTGGGGCTCATCTTGGGAATCTCCTTGCCTTCTGCTCCTCATGTTCATCTTCTACACCAGAGGAAGGACTTCAGGATCCAAAAGTGCTGCTCTGTCGGGGATGCAGTGACACCCAGACAGTCAGGTACATCTCTATCCCAGAGGCCAGCACTGGGGGTTCCCAACATTTTTCCCTTCAGGGCACCGCTTTTTTCCCCCAATATCTTTCAACTTGAGAACTCCTGCAGTTTTTTCCCGTGGGGGAGAGAGGCCCCTGCCTTGTGCACCTCAAACCAGTGCCTTCCCCTCCTCCCTTCTCCCGTGGACCCCCCAGGTGCCTGCTGAGTGCGGGAGGAACACGGCAGCTCCAGAGGCCCTGGATCCCTCCTGCCACCGCTCTGTGCTCGCACGGTGACATCTGAGGCTCTGCCCCCGCTGGAGGCCTGGCGTGCTGGAGTCGGGAGCGCTTTCAGCTCTGGCAGTTCAAATCCCCTCGCTGTGCAGGAGCCCACTTAACGCTGCCTGCAGTCACCTGGAGGAATTAGCTCACTGCAGCAACTTAGACATCCAAGGTATTCCGATAATGTGAGGGATGTGTGAGGTTAATGACTGGAAAAAGTGATCGCTCCCTGTGGGCAGTTTCTCAGAAAACTCCCCGCTGCTTGGCTGACAGAAGAAAGGAGACTCCGGCAGCGGCAGCAGCAGTGAGGAAGCCCCGTCCCCTCTCCACAGCAGCTGCACAGCCCCACGGAGCAGCCATGGCCCTGCTCCAGCTCCTGGAGGTGCTGGAGGAGCTCCCACGCTCCAGGGCCGAGCTGCTGTGCTGCAGGACGGGCTGAGGTGGTTGAACGTGGATATTCACGGAATGAACTTGGAAGGAAGACGCTCATCCGAGTGGTTCTCCAAG